TCTGCCTCCCCTTTTCAAGTGTCCCAGTCTAGTGGCCAGTGGTGGAGCCGTTGGCTTGTCAAGTAGCAGGCCCTGCTCTGACCCTTGTCTCTTTCTGACTGATTTTCCCATCTGGATTTGTGACCTTATGCTCAGCCCTAGCTCACTGCTGGCCTCTGCCGAGTCCTGAGCATGCCTGCCCTGGTCTTAACGACTTGCCCAGCACCTGCAGTTCTTGTTTCTTAAGCGGTACCCTGCACAAACACACCAGAGTAAAGTGGGCACAGTGCTTCCTACTCCAGGAGTGACAATTTAGAAGTGGGGGCGAGAAGAGCGACTTGGGGTACAGTGTGAGAACTTTAATGGAGGGGTCTGCCAGTGGCCACACAGCTTCTGAGCCAGGACTTTAGACGATGGCTAGGAGATGTCCTAGTCTCAGAGGTGGGGCAGGAAGGCTGGGTCTTTGTCTTCTATCTTTCCCCTCATGAGAGTGGCAGGGTCTGGGCCTTTCCTGCCTCGGTCTCCCGCAGAACAGGCATGTTGTTGCCCATTTCTGCAGCCGTTAGGATGGCTGAGAGGTTGTGTATGCCGAGGTCTCAGTTCATTAACTCGATCCACAGGGACTAATTCATTTGTTCAACCCCTAGACGCAGCAGTGAGCCAGAGAGGCCATACCTTCTCATGCCAGTGTGCCCACACTCGGTGCCCGCGCCACGATGGCCAGCTGTGCCGCTGTCTGTCACTGTCGGGCTTGTCCCTGCTTTTCTCAGTCCTCTCTGCCAGCCTCCTCTCTTCCTTACATCTTGCTGCTGCCACCCTTAGCCCAAATGACTTCGCTTTTCACTTTGTCCACGTTGCAAATGGTGGTCTTTCCCAACGCTCCAGAGAATATTCTTTCCCAAGGCTTTACCATCACCGGATCTCCTAGTCATTGCCAGGGGCCAAAATACAACCTCTCACCGCCAAGGTGGCTCATTAAAGTCAGTTTAGAAGTGCCGATAGTATAGGGGGAGAAGAGCTGGGATGGGACTGGGTCACCCACATGTGCAACAGTGCCCTGCCACTCCTCTCCCCCAGTGCCAGCACTAGAATTACTGATGCTTGGCATGCCCTACAGCCCGATAGGTGGCTTTATGAATTCCCTGGTAGGGATTTTATCTATTTTCTTTCTTTCCTTTCCTTCTCTTTCTTTTCTTTCTTTCTTTTTGTGTGTATATGTGTGATGAGGGGGGAGTTTATAGTAATATTTAAACATTTAGGCGCATGTTTTTTTTTAATGTAGTACATTTTTTTTTAAAGTAGAACTTAAACAAGATGCATTAAAAAGCAGTTTCTTGACCGAATTTTTAGGACTCACAACTTCGCCAGAGTACAGCGTACAGCTTACATCAGCCTCAGGGAAACAAGGAACACGGCACAGAGCGGAATGGGAACCTGTACAAGAAGAGCGATGGGTAGGTGGCCAGCCCGCTGGGTGCCGAGTTGGGATGTACGCGGTTACCTTCTGTGTCAGTGTCTAAACCCTGCTGATCTCCCCCTGTTCTCCTCAAGGATCAGAAAAGTGTGGCAGAAGAGGAAGTGTTCGGTTAAGAATGGCTTCCTGACCATATCGCATGGCACCGTGAGTATCCCTCCTGATCCAGTCTCTGCTGGGGCTGGTGAAGCTGGTCTGGGTGTCAAGGCCATCAGTTGTCCTTTCGCTGAGTGCAGACAGTGTCTTCCCCGGCTGCAGGTCTCGTACTGCATGTTTGTCCATCCTGTCCGTGGGTGATGGTAATAATATGAGTCTTTTTCTTAGTCTTCCTTTCTCCTGCAGTCCTCTAAGAGGCGGGATTGGGCAGAAGCACAGGTAGACTTTTTTTTTTAAGCCCTTTTGCTTTGTTGTTTTTTTGTTTTTGTTTTTGTTTCCCCCCCGAAGCAGGGCTTCTCTCTGTAGTTTTGGAGCCTGTCCTAGAATTAGCTCTTGTAGACCAGACTGGCCTCGAACTCACAGAGATCCACCCACCTCTGCCTCCCGAGTGCTGGGATTAAAGGCATGCGCCACCATGGCCCCGTCTTTAGCGCTTTTGTGTAACCAAGAAAGCTTCACCTAAAGATGTCACAGAAGCAAAGACGATGCTGTGGGAGTCTGGGGAAGGGAGTGTCCCCTTCACTTTTGATGAGTCCATTAAGGGCAAGCAAGGCACTAGAACTGATTTGTACCAAACAACCATGGTCCCTGCCACCTCAGCCCCTGAGGACTCACTGTATCTGCCAAGGTCATCTGCCTTCCCATAACCCAAACTGCACCTCACTCCTGATCCTTGAAGTTTGGACCTGGATGCTCTGTTTCCACACAGCAGGTGGACAGGAGTGAGGGGACACGACTGCCTGAGACTAAGGGACGCAAGCATGTTTAACCATGCATCGTTTAGGTGCAGAATGTCAGGAGGACGGCTGGGCCTTACCCCTTCTGCTGCTGTGTTTCATTTCCACGGTGTGCATTAGTTTGCTTTAGTTCCGGCACGCTGCCTCGACACAGAAATCACTGTAGAGTGAGGGACACGTTTCCTTGCTTACACTTAGAGCGCCCATGTCACAAGGCATATTTGCTTTCTCAGGGTCCCTGAGGGGCAGGATCTCCACTTAAGCCAGCAACGGGAGAGGGCAGGCCTGGTGATTCCTAGCTGACTTGGTTCTGAGTAACTTCCAGCGTTCCAGCTTCCTCTCCAAAGGCTTTATAAGAATTCTTTAAATTTTGATGGGTTGCCCGAGTTTCGGAGAAGACAGTAGTTATAATTATCTTCACCAGGATGCTGCTGGTTCTCCTTACAGTGTATGTATTTTTTAAGAGCTGTGTGCTTTGAGGTGAACCCTCTCAAGGAACCTCCACTTGGGGGGAGGCGTTCTCTGCCATTAACAGCCACTTCCCACTGTATCTGTGGGTGGGTCCCAGCTCAGCCTCCACCTAACTGCCTTGAAGGAGCCTGGGTAGCCTGTGTGTTGTTCTGTATGCCCTGGCAGTCAGGCTCCTGAAGGGCCCTCCATGTTCCCATGCCACCCAAGTGTTTGCCTGTTGTAGCCGTGAATTGTCCGAGCCGAGAGTGAAGAGTGGGAAATGCATTATTTGAGGGTTTTTGTCTGACTCCTGAGTAGCTTGCCCTTCTGGCTAGCGGCTTGTGGCTGCACTTTGTTCCCACCGTGAGAAAGGAGCAGGCTCCCAAAGGTAGGTGTGGGGAAGTGGGGATCTAAGAGGAGCAGCGCCTGTCACACAGCTGGGAATAGGGTCTGTGGAAATCGGAAGGAGCATGCTTGCCCTACCGGGAAGACAGGCCCTTCTGGAAGCTGGTAGCCTCTGGGAAGTGAAATCGCTTCATTTTTTGCACCCACAGTAACCATCTGGGTACGGGTACCGTCTGGGATGGGTATCTTGAGGGTCGGCATTGGTGTCGCCACAACAGGCTGTGTTTCTGGAACTTGGGCAGTCATTCATGGGATTAGATGCTCTGATTAGGTGTCTTCTTGACCAAGTCCACAGCATTGCCACCCCCTCCCCCAAGACGTGAGGGCTGCATTGTGCCCAAAGAGTTGCCTGCTGCCTCTTAGAGGACCCAACATTTTAGTTTGTCTGTCTGTCTGTCTGTCTGTCTGTATGTATGTAGTTCATCTGTTTCTGCCTCCTGAGTGCTGAGATTAAAGTTGTGTGCCACCATACCTAGTTAGCCCAACAGTTATAAATGTAAATGTTATTCATTTGGAATAACATTTCAAAGCACAAGTTTGTGTTTTGAAGGTGTTCTAAGGACTAGAAATACAGGTTAGTGATAAAGAGCTTGCCTTACATGCATGAGACCCTAGGTTAAATCCTTATGGTGTCAATCAATCAATGAGTCAATCAGTGGCTTTTATAAACCTGGAACATTTAGTAGAAGAAGAATCGCTAATAACCTCTGCCCTCGGGAACTTCCCTGTTGCTAGAGTTTCCTGCTAAACCTAGACTGCCTCAGGAAGGAGCCAGCACTGCCCTCCAGCTAGATTGAATAATGACTTTGTTTCTTTCCAAATGGCATGGGGCAGATATGTGTGTGTTAGTGGACAGAATTTTCTCTTGTAAATTTCCCTTACATCTTTGTTGGTAGTTAATAATCCAAACGAGCAAACAGCAAGTGGTTATTAAAGTGAAACCTGCCAGGGCTGGTGGTGTGTAAGATTGCTTGCCGAGTGTCTGTGAGTCCTTCTTGGCCGCCATTTTTAATAGGTAAACTATATTTATGGCCTTGAGTTCCTAGTCTAGATGAAGGCCTCAGGTCTTTTCGTGATCTTGGTTTCCCTTTGTTGTGGGGTGAGAGTTTGTCTTTGGGTGTAATTACCTAGGTAGAGAGACAGTGATACAGCAGGGAAGGAAGGTGACAGAGATGGGGAGGGAGGAAATGTCATCCCTCTTCATGGTGGCTCTCAGAAGGTGTCCTGGTAGGAACTGTGGTTAACTGTGTGAGACTGTATATGATTGATCCTGCTGCAGTCCTACCATGGATGGGGTTGATCGTCTCTAGACCCTATGCCGTTCTGAGTTGCTAATTGTTGTCTGTATGCTGTAGCTGTATAATTGTAGGTGGAGGGGAAATCATCTTCATTGGGAATGGAGCCACTGGTAGGTTTCCCACGCTCCTGTGGGTGACCCCAAACTATGCACATTTGAATAGCACTAACTGGATTTAGTGGGTTATCCATAGAAACCCTGTGTGTGCCCTGGCAGAGAGGGCAGCGACCCTGCCTCCTGCAGGACTGAGACCTAAGGAACCCCAACATTCCTGTATGTCCTGTCCCTGATATAAACTTCTGCAAACCAGGAAGATGTCTTCTCTTGAGGACCTTCTCCCATTTCCCACTCACCCCGTGTTTTACATTTGTTTCTAAACAGGCCAACCGGCCGCCCGCCAAACTCAACCTGTTGACCTGCCAGGTGAAGACCAACCCCGAGGAGAAGAAGTGTTTCGACCTCATTTCACGTAAGGCTCTTTCTCAGACTGTGCAGTGCTTACTTTATACGTTCCTGGAAAGTCAGCCTTTTGAGGAATTGGTCTTCGGGTGGGTGAGGCAGGAGGATTCTGAGCTTGAGGTCCGTCTAGCATAGGTTCATGGCGAGACCATTTTCAAGTGGCCTGCCTCTTTTGTTTCCAGTGGTGACTGATGGCTGGCTTGCCAGGACTTTGGGTTAAGATTGGCCTTTGGAGAGTTCCCGCTCCATCTGCTCTGTAAACTGAGAGCCACCCTCTCCGCCCTGAGTCTCAGCTCCCCCACTGGTAAACAAACAGATTGTATTAGGTGAGCCTCAGGTCTCAAATCCTCTAGCCTGCTTTTTTTTCAAATGACAGTTTTACTGCCTGGACCTTCTATCATTTATGCGTGTGATGTTTAAAATGTCATAAATGGAGGCGGGGAGATGGCTCAGTGGGTAAAAGGCCCTTGGCTGCCAAGCCTGACAACCTGTGTTCTATTCCTGGATCCCATATGGTAGGAGTGGCTCTGTCCTGCAGCCTGTCCCCTGACCACATGCACGCACCACAGTGCACGTAAGTCCCCTCTCTACCCGAAACATACTTTAATGTAAAGTGGTACTTTTCTTTTTTCTTTTTTTTAATGCTCAAAGTGGGAATGATTAGGTCTTCAATAAAGCCCTTGAACTTTAGTGATTTTCCCCCTCTTGTTTTTTTAAGTTTTTTATTTTTCCCACTACAGAATTTGTCTTTTTCTCCTGTGTATTTCTCTCTTTTGTGGTGCACACAAAGAAACTCGCAGAACCAGCAATTACAGCAAATGTTTACCCAGAATCCTCCCAAAAAAGGAAAGGGGTTTGTGATGTCTTAAGGAAAATACGATAGATAGGTTTTGTCCTTGGTCATTGTACGCGACATGATTACAGTTCAGGACGGGTGGACCAGTCTGCACTCTAAAGATGTCCAGCGCAGTGGTTGACACCAAGCTCTGACCTGAGGGGCGTAGGCAGGTGGTATATCCCGTCATCCTTAGCACCCCATCCTGTGATAGGATGCTTTCTGACCACATTGTTGAGACCTTGTAGGAAGTGTCATGTGATTTAACACACACAGCAAATCAAGAAGTGTGGCCATGCCATCTCCACCGTCTGCCCGGCACGTGCTCCTCGTCTACTAGATTTTCTTTTGTAGACCTCCTGCATCGAGCTGCAGGGAGGGGTGAGCTGTGTGATATGGAAAACCTCTGGGGACTGTTGGTCATTTATGCTGGGCTAGGGAGATTGCTCAGTAGGTTCGGGCGCTTGCTGTGCAAGCCGTGGCCATGTGTGTGCCTTCAACCCCAGCAGTGCTGAGTGAGGGAGAGACAGGAGGATCATTGGAGCTTGCTGGCCACTAGGATAGCCCCAGGGTCAGTGAAAGACCCTGTCTTCAGGGGATGGAGCGGAAAATGACAGTGGAATACCTCCTCTGGCTTTCACATACACACACACACACACACACACACACACACACACACAGAGAGAGAGAGAGAGAGAGACAGAGACAGAGACAGAGACAAAGACAGAGAAAGAAACACACACATAGAAGGGGCAGGGGTTGAGATTATGCTGCTTCAAGCTCCAAACCTCAGTCTGGCAGGTTCTAAGTGTAGCAGCAAATTCTCTCCATTACATCTACAACATAAAATGCTGAGCCTTGACTCTGGTTTAAAATGTGACCTCTGCTGGGCCACCTGCCTCTAGACAGTAGCCAAAGCTTGAGTTAAAGGAAGAAAACTCGATGGTGTCGCTAAATGTCTACTGGTGGCTGGAGAAGGGGTTTTTTTCAACCCTTTATTTCTAAAAAAGAAGTAACTTGTTAAAAAGCTGGCTAAGATTCGCTTGGTAACTGTCTGAGCTTCCTGGGCTTTGGGCATCTCAGCCAGGTGGGGACAGCACCTCCCACAGCTGTCACCTTCAGCATGACTGGCAGGGTCCAGCGAACAGCACAGGTGCAGAAGTGGTTGCTATGGAACTTTCCATCTTGGGCTCACCAGGTAGGGGAAGGGGCGGGGCATGCACATAATGAGGGCTCAGATACCCCCCACCTCCACTGGGGTGTGAATTGTTGCATCCTGAGGATGTGGGAGAAGCGGCCAGTGTGTGAGTCTGCTTCTGGCCCTGCTGCTAACTTTGTAGCATCTTCAGGCTTATGAATAACCCCAAGAGGGCCCAGCCTGAGCTTCTCTGTGAACCTGGCTGCAGGCACAGTTCCTTGTTGTCGCCTTGCAGAGCCTTGGTTATGTTGAAAACCAGTCTTACCCACTTCCTCTGCTTGGTCTTTAAGGGGCAAAATTAATTCCAGTCCCCGCCCAGTTCTTAACTCAGCAGATTTTCAAGATGCCCAGATCCTCTAGAAGTGGCTTTACATGGGGCTGCTGGGGCCTGAGTTCGCGTGAAGAGACAGGAAGTTATCGAGGAAATGCACTAGCTCCTGAGTGAGGGGGACCTGGCTCGGCACCCTGTTCTTCCCTCATGCCTCCTCTGCCTCCCGACAGGTGGAGCAAATGCTATCAGGTGTCTTTGAACTTAGCAAAGTTGAGTTGTTGGGAGACAACCGGGCGCAAGAGTTCAGCTGCCCTCCATGGGCTGCCCCCCATCCTCACTGGTCATGCTGCCTTGAAATCTCTCAGGATGACACACTCAACCACCGCCTGCAAGGCTGTGCTCTTGCTCTCCCACAAGGGGGCTCCCCATTTTGACCAAGAGGCCATGGGAACGTGCCCCTCGAGGGGGATTTGTCTGTTGTAAAGCCAACCCTTTGGGAACTCGTCCAGTCTCATGCCCTCAGGCTGACTTCCCCTCTGTAAACCCAAGTTGACCCACACGGGCACCCTAGTAAGGGTGGTGGTTAGAATTATGAGCCAACTTGGCCAGGCTCCCAAGCAGGATGGGGTACAGGGAACCCTAGTGGCCTGCCTTTCTATGTGGCAGAAGCTCATGCGGATCTCCAGAGAACCTGCAGGTGGAGCATTGTTTGGACATTTTCACACGAAATGACCTCCTACTTCTCCGGTCAACGCAGGCAGAATTAGCCAACCCAAGTCGTACCCTATCTGGCTGTGAAGTAACTCAGTGTGGGCACGGGGCACTGGCAGGCCCTCCGGTCTCAGCTTCCTGAGAACTCTGAGCTCCGTGTGGCAAGCTTCCAGTTTGAGCTGTGGACCTGCCCCTCTGGCCCTCTTCCTAGGAGGCTGGCCAGGGCCGTGAAGTGCCTGGGCGTAGGAGAAAGTGGCCCTGTCTCTTTTCTTACTCAGTTGGGTGCAGTCCAGTGTTGTCTAACGTGAAGTCGCTTTCTACATCCGTCCCTCTCTTCAGTGACAGGTGGGACATAGAAAGGTATTGTTCCCCTCCCCCCGGCAGTTAAGATTTTAAAGAAACAAGCAAAACCAAAACCAAAACCAAAACCGTGACCCGGATCCTCCTTTCTGCTCTTCACTTGTGTCCGGACTTGACTCCTCTTGATGTCTGGCCCCCATCCTGGCAGTTCCTCAGGGTCCTTCCTAAGGCCCGGACCAAAAGCTACTATTGCAGAGCCATGTCCACCCGTTATCTTTTTAAAAACATTTTATATGTGTGTGTGCATGTGCCCATTTGGAGACCAGAGGCGAATTGTGGGAGTTGGTTCTCTCTTCCCACCCTGTGGGTCCCAAAGATGGCTCTCAAGCTGCCAGTCTTGGTGGCAGGTACGCTCAATGGCTGAGCCCTCTCCTCGCCTTCTGCTTGCTTTTAGGGTCATCGATATTTTCTTGTGCCACTAAGAAGAGTGTCACTCTGTGTCATTTGTAGAAGTTAGACCTCTTCTCTTTTCAGACTTAGTTTTCTTTTTTAACTTTCTTGTTTTGACCGATTCTGTGCATAGATTTTGTGGCTGTCCCTTACTGAGCATCTGCGTGTGTGTGTGTGTGTGTGTGTGTGTGTGTGTGTAGATATTCATAAGCCAGTATGTATTACTAGAGAAATCCACACTGAGGAAGGACCCAGGCATAGTACTGTGAAATCCTACCCAGAATGCACCTGTTTTCTACTCACATCCTTGTTCTGGTCCCAGATTCCCCGCCCCCCAGGCCCCCACATTGCATTAAGATCTTGGTCCCCAGCGGTCTCGTTTCTGCCCTCCTCCCTTGTCTGTGTTGACCTCTGTGTCTTTTGAAGACTGCTGTCTAGTCTTGTTGTGAAATGTCTGTCAAGTTAGGTTTTCCCGTGTTATGAGGACTTAACTGAGATTGCACATTTTTGGGTAGCACAGAAGTGAAGCTGTCCCCCCTGTCCCATGCGTCCCCACTGTGCGTGCAGGGATCACAGCCCCCTACCCCAACACTTGTAAAACACTGCAAGCACCTGCTGCGCCAGTGTGGCCCTGCCTCTTAGACCTTTATTTAACTGTGTCTTTTTGGGTTAGTTATGCTTGTGACATCAGACTATCAGAGTGTGATATTCTTAGAATTTATGATAGAGTATTAATCCACTTTCTGAGGGAGCCAGAAAATGTCTAAGATGGCATTTTTTCAGAAAAGGCTCTCGTTCACCAGACAGATGGTCCACTTGTTGCATCCTATTGCTAAGTAAGCATGGGCAGGCAGATCTGTGTGAGTTCAGGGCTAGCCTGGTCTACATAGGAGACCCTGCCTGAAAAAGTGGGAGGGGAAAGGCGCTTATCAAAGGACTTTAACAGTTCCTTGGGGATGGGGGATGGCTGTGATGAATATAAAAGGTTTTGAAAGTTTGGTTTCTATTCAGTAGCCTCACTTGCATGTTTTAGACTAGAATGGGCAGGTTCATCAGTTTGCATTACAAAGTCACAGTGACTGAAGCATTGGCACACACCCGTGCATGCACACGCAGACCGCAGACCGGGAGGAGTGCTCAGCTTTGTCCATTAGTACGGTGGAGAGCACATGTCATTCGCACCGTTGTAAAGACCTGGCCTCGCGGTAATAAGTCTCCCCTTGCTGTGCAGATGACAGGACGTACCACTTCCAAGCCGAGGACGAACAGGAATGTCAGATGTAAGTACCATGGGCTGGGCCGGGGACAGGGGTGGGAGTGGGAATGCACTCCCTCTAACACCCGAGCTGTGGCTGTCTGTCCAGATGGATGTCTGTACTGCAGAACAGCAAGGAAGAGGCTCTGAATAATGCATTTAAGGGCGACGACAGCACCGGGGAAAACAACATCGTCCAGGAACTGACCAAAGAGATCATCTTGGAGGTGCAGAGGATGACAGGCAATGACGTGTGCTGCGACTGTGGAGCGCCAGGTGACCTGGGGACTGTCGCCACCCAGCTCTAGGGTGTTCGGATTCCGCAGAACCCGCCCATTGATTTCTAACTGTCATCTCAAACATGAAATCGGTGCAGCTCAGTCTGCTCATCCCATTACACAAATGCTTAATGAACTGTGCAGAGCGCAGCGGGGCCCATGGGTGGGAGATGCTGGCCTGCTGGGCCCAGGGCGGGACCATGGAAAGACAGCCTGGTGGAGATGAAAAGATTTCAGTAGTGAAGAAAACTGAAGGGCGCAGTGGGGATGAGCTGAAGGTCACCGGTCTTACAGGCTCTGAGACGCTGTGAAGGTCCACTGGGGACGAACCTTTTGAAGCCACTTTCAGGCACACTCTGGCTCTGACCCCAGGAAGAGAGCCACAGACTGTCAGCCAACTGTAGGATGAGCGATAGATCTTTATTATCCGTCATATCCTGTGTTTGCATTTTGATATAATTTATCAGAGGGTTCATGTTAAGGCACATAGTATCTTTGTGGATATCAACAACCAGAACTTTATGGCTTGAGGAATTGACGTTTAAATTAAGCTAGGAGAGGGCTGGGGAGTTAGGATGGACACAGTACTTGTCTGAATGTTTGCTTACCAAGAAACGTGGCTTCCCGTTCACTTAGTTCTGTGACAGTTTCTATTGAAAATGCAACTGCAGTAGAGTGGATAGTTAGAAATGCCATCAAGTTCTTGTTTTCCTGAGTTTCTGTTTGGTCTCAGATCCTTAGAACTATCTTGGTGGCGGGAGCAGAGGCAGCAAGAAGAGTGTACTCTTTCATAAGGAAGAATAAGAATGGTGGAATATTCAGACGCTTAGAGCGTCTTCGTAAAGAGATGATGCAGACAAGTGCTAAGGCCACACAGATGGTATGAAACGTGCTATGTTGTCTGAACGTGTATTGTTCCCCCAAAGCGGGATGTACACAGAAGAGCTGAGGTGCCTGCAAACATGGATGCTAGTAATAATTGTTAATGCGGGTGCAAGTGTGTGTGTGTGTGTGTGTGTGTGTGGTGTGTACGTATATGTCCTGGGTATTAAATTTAGTGCCTTCCACGTGGTAGGTAAGCACTGTACTTTGGAGCTAAATTTCTAGCCCACATTTTCTTCCCCAAGATTTATTTTCCTTGGAGTTGTGTGTGAGGTCTGGGTGAGTTTATGTGCACCGTGTGTGTGTGTGTGTGTGTGTGTGTGTGTGTGTGTGTGTGTGAGAGAGAGAGAGAGAGAGAGAGAGAGAGAGAGAGAGAGAGAGAGGATCTGGGTGACTTTGTGTGTATAACATGTGTGTGTGAGTCTGGGTGAGTTCATGTGCACTGCGCGTGTGTGTGTGTGTGTGTATGTGTGTGTGATGCCCATAGAGGCCAGAAGAGTGCATCAGATCCTCTGGAATTGGAGTGACAGATGGTTGTGAGTAGTCACATGGGTGCTGGGAGCGGACTTCAGGTCCTCTACAAGAGTAGCAGATGCTCTTACTAGTGAGCCATCTCTCCAGCCTCTCTCCCCCATCCCCAATTGTTAACAACCAGACAGTTTTTAAAGAATTTCATGATGATCTTGTGGGCAAGATGGTCATGTTTGCCTGTGGAGAATTTCTAAAGGGCAGCAAGCACTCCTAGGACATCGTGCTCCAATACGTCTTAATTTTCAGTGCTTTGTCAATTCTGCATTTGCCTGTCAAGTATTGGCTGGGTCCACAGTGTGCGCTCAGCACCTGGTAGGATACTTAAAGTGAGGAAGTGAATGTCCCATGTGGGGAAGGTGCAGCTCGAACTTGGGGAGACACAGAACGGCTGTTCACACTGTACTAGCTAGTGCTAGGCCCTGAGCATACAATGAGATAGCGTGCAAACATACTCTGATGTCTGACACTTGCAGTGCGATTGACTCTTCCCCAGATCCTGAGCACAGCCCTTCACGAGCATGAGTATTCTCTGTTAGTGGTGGCACATAGAGACCTTATCCATCCCTCTCCCTGCAGCGCTATGCTCTTCCTGCTCCATTCTGTGATATGGCCAGGCAGAACTGGGGTGAATGCTGCGGGACTAGCCCTTGCAGTCACTGCAGTGTGTGGAGGGACAGGGTTGGGAGGAGAAGAATGAACACCTTGTCGTTGGTTGTGGGTTTGGTGCAATTTTAGATGATCAGGGTACCAGCTATATCACAGGTAAAATGCTCTTGTTCAAATCTCCATGTTCAGCAGCCTGACCGGGAGAATCTTCTGTCTCCTGTCGTCTGACAGCTGACTTACGAGGACCCCTTCTCTTTGGCAGATCCAACGTGGCTCTCCACCAACCTTGGCATCCTCACTTGCATCGAGTGCTCTGGAATCCACCGGGAGCTGGGGGTCCATTACTCCAGGATGCAGTCCTTGACCTTAGATGTATTGGGAACGTCTGAGCTTCTGGTAATTTGATTTAGAAACTCATTGATAATGACTCCCTCTCCACTACCAAGGAGCGAGGACACGTCTTGTTATGGGATGTTATTCATAAATACAAAGAGTGGAAACGTCCCCAGACAAGGGACACCGAGGCTGGTGGAGGAGTCTTCTAAAATGGCTGAGGTGGCAGCCGAAGGCCCATTGCTCCCTTCCACTAACCAGGCACAGAACCCAAAGCCTATGGGGCAGCAAAGGGTTTACTGTGCCCAAGTCATCAACCAGTTTCTGGCAAGACTGTGCCCACGTTTGGCTTCCCGCCCCATTGGCCTTTCTGATCTGTATTAGCCCTCTCACGAGAGGTACTGGCTTCTGTTGTAGCTCCTCGCTTTTCTAAAGTAGTCTTCCATGCCTGTCTCACTGCTAATATGGATGCTCTGTGATAGAGGGCTGGGGAGATGGAAGTGTGTTTTGAGAAATACCTTTAGGTACTTGATTCTGTAGCCTGACTGAGTCATGAGGCCGATTGCGCACCTACCTGGGCTTTGGGGCCGCTTCAGAATCTGTAGTTTCTATTTGGAAAGCAGCGCTCAAAACCATTTCTTGAGATGACTGAGCACTGGGTAGTAAATAGTAAGTGGATATTGATTGCCATTGATTTTACTGTCAAGAGCAATAATCTTGACAGAAGATCTATTCACATGGCCAGTAGTAGTCCTCTCACGGGGTCCTACATCTTCTTGACATCTCTGAATCCGGTGTGTCCATTTTCCTGATGCTTCTGGCTGTTTCTTGTGGAAACTGCCCTGTCATTCTGAGGAATTCTTTGTTTGATATTGGAAGACAAGAGTGAGGAAAACCTAGTGTGAATCTCAGGCAGCACCATTCTTGGTTACACCTTACAAAGGAAACAAACTCAGTCCCTCCTCAGTGTGCTCTTGCTTATGAATACAATCCCTGCTGCTCATATTAGGGCACCTGGCCTACATCTCAGAGGTGTTTGAATGTACAGCATCTCTGGGAAAACTGATTATGGCTTAGTTATTCAATGGCCACACAAACTCTGATGGACTGTGGTGATTTCTAGTTTCACCGGTTGGCTTACAGCAGAGGGACACATCCAGTGATGTATGGTGAGATCATGGCTTATGCCTTGGATCATCCGATCTCTGTGACTCAGCATCCTTGGTGTAGGATCTCCCACTTTACGGGGAAGCTTTGCTTACAATACCTTACTGTATCCAGGCTCTACACCTGTTAAGTTAACCCACTCAAAATGAGGCTCTTTTGAATCCTTCTTAGCTCATACTCACTTCTGAGACTCCTGGGATACAAACTGGCATTGTGGTGGGTTTTCTGGCCGTGTGGGAAACATGTGAGCACCACATCTGCCTCTCCTCTCTCCCAACAAATGTTTAACAGCCAACTCTGAGGAGCAACGAGCCCTTGATCGAAGCCCGCCTATTTCCCTGCTGTAAATGCTTCTGTCGTCGCCAGTTTTGAGTTACTCTTGAGAATTACCGACTAGAGAGCTGGCAAAGGATGTTCAGAAACATAGTGTTCTAGCATCCATTCATCATATAAAAATAATGCATATAAACAACTCAAGACACTGATAATAGTGAAACGTTGTAAAATTTAGAAATGATAAGATTTGTTTTATTTGAGTTTTTTTTGGGGGGGGAGAACAGGGTGTCACTGTGTAGCCCAGCCTCTCTCCTTTCTTCTTCCTCAGATCCCTGCATATTTAGAATTCAGGTGTGCCCCAGCTTGCTCAACAGGATAATGAGGCTCGAATACCTAGTGTCGTCGTTGTTGACATGATTTATCATGCGTTTGCATAGTATAATTTTTAATAGTAGCAATGTTTAACAGCTGTCTCTCAGAATTCCTAGACATCTAGTAATTAGCTTTCAAGAGCTGGTTAGAGCCTTGTTCCAACACTGATTAATTAACTGTGTCTCAAAACGTGGGTTTGGAGAAATGCCTCAGAAGATCATGTCAGGACCCATGAGCAGGAGGTAGAGGTGACTGATGTCCCTGCGGTGGATGCTGGGATGCTGGGCCCTCTGTAAGAGCAGTGTGCACTCTGCCGAACCATCTCTCCAGTGTACTTTTATTTTATTTTTCTAAGACACCCTCATAGATTCAAATCGATGGTGTATATGGTTCTCTTCTTTCTCACCATTGATACCGTTTTTGATAAAAAGCTTCTTAGTACGAGGGTATGTGCCTGTCGTCCGTGTGTTGCTGGACATTGGTCTTGTTATCCAGTTGCTGTTTCGTGTCTTTGGTCCTTTGCCCCTGCGTCAGGACTGTCTGTGTTCATTCTGTCAAGCTATTGAAGCTCATTACATATTTTTGATTCTGTCCTCATACCAGGTATTTTTCCCATTCCGTCGACTGCCGCTTCACTTTATTTATGCAGAGCATTTCTAGTTTTCCATTTTTGCTTTTGTTGGTGAGCTGAGACTTTTAAAATGACCCGAGAGAGGCAGCCAGCTCACAAGCAGGACCTGAATGTATTTTCATTTTCTCTTGGGCATTACGTCTTTGACTAGGAGAGAAATGCTCCTCGCTCCTGGCCTCCGACATGACTTCAGCAATTTCCTCTCCAGAAGAGTCCCTTGCTCAGTTCTGTGGATTGTGGCCTGGTTTGCAAAGTGTCTGACGCTGTGCCCTGGCTGTTTCTCCATTTTAATTTGCTGTTGTTTGAAAGCACACTTTCCACGTTGGCCCGCTGGATTAGAGCAGCATCTGTGAAGGTGGCTGGATGTGGATAGTGACTACCTCCGCTCCCTGTTACCTACTTTCATATCACCTCCTGCTCGCTGAAATGGAAGACAGGCAGTTGGAGGACTCGTTTGGCTCATTTGGTGAAGTTATGTCACCCCAACCACTTTAGCTTCCATACTATAGTAGGCTTAGACCCCTTTGGAGTCCAATGAGCCTTCCACAGGGACTTCCTAAGACCATTGGAAAACACAGATATTCATATTATGACACAGTAATAGCAAAAATACAGTTATGAAGTAGCACCAAAAGTAATGTTATGGTTGGGGGTCCCCACAACATGAGGAACTGTACTAAAGGGTCGCAGTGTCAGGAAGGTTGACAGCTCTGGAGTCTCAGTGAACCTGGTTTCAGAAATGCCTGGCAAGCCCGGGTTTTAGAGAGGTGGAATTTCTCCTTAACTTTGAAGACCATTAAAAGAAGCTTTATGCTGGAGGGAGTCATCTGAAAAACCACATGACCTCCTAGGGCATGGGTATCACGTGGCTCATTTCTCTGTCATGTGGAAAGTTACATTCTGTAGTTTGAAATTTGGTTTAGAGTGGAGTGTTGTTGCCTGCACTTTTCTGTGAATTCCCAAACCCGAAACAGGCGCGCGCTTTCCCGAATCGAGCCCACGAGAATGGATGAATATCCTAAGGGTTGAAACAGACAGATACAAAGAGACCATGCTCATTCACCAAAGAGTAAATGGCAACTTTATTAAACACAAGTCTGGTATATATACTAGGGGGCAAAGGGGCAAAGCCCCCTCCCATCCGGAGCAGTGGAAGAGGTTGTTAGGTGTCAGGCGCCCAAGGCCAGGAACAGCTGCGGGTGGCACATAGGGCCTATGGCAGCGGGATCCTTGCTTGCAGGTGGAATTACCATAACAAAAGAGGGCCAAGTTCTTTCTAAGATAAACCCTCAGGCCTGTGCAATAACAGAGAAGCCAGGAAGCCAGAGGTAAAACTGCCCTGCATAGCACCACGAACAAAAGGGGAAGAAACCTGGGTACCTACAGGGTGTGATGGCTCAGGTCTGTGAGCCTAACTGTGGAGGCCTAAGCAGGAATATTGCTGCTGCTGCAAGCCCACCCTGTGCTATGCAGCGGGCTCCGGGCCAGCCTGGGCTACGGAGTGAGACCCTGTCTGAACGGAATGAAGGACTTTGACTTTGAAAGCTTTCCATCATGCTGGAGGAATGTCGGGAAGACTGGGGAGTTGTGTAGCTGACTCAGCCGTCTCTTGCGGTCTCTCAGCTGCACTGTCAGACGCCAGGGCAGCGCAGCCTCGAGCCCTGGGATGCTGTCAACGCTGGCATTTGATGGCACTGAGCTAAGCCGCTCTGGGTAGTGGCTGCGGCTGCTTAAAGCAATGAGAAATTGCCGTCAGCTGACATCCACTGAATCACGTTCAGGTTCCAGGCATTGCTGTGACTGGTTTTTTTGTTTGGTTGTTTGGGTTTTTTGATCTTTTTTGTTTGTTCATTTGGTTGTTTTTGTTGTTGTTCTTTCTCTCTGGTCTAAGAGAGGCCCAGAGTATGAGAAACTTGCCCATGTAATACACATGTAACATTCCTTCCACAGGCCGTGTGCAATCCTGTTTGTAAGTCACACCACAGATATGTTTTTAGCTGCAGGCAAAACCAAGTCCACAAGCATCTGTGTATATTGTCAAATAAATAAGACCAATGGCAAGGTCCGCGTAAGAGTGTGGCCTTCGTTCCTGCCCACTAGATGTTCCTGCTCCGCCCTTGTTAAGCTGCCAACATCTCTTGACCCTGCCTCTACTGGTCACTCCTCTGTGTTCCTGGACCCTCGGGCACGTGTTTGTCAAGAAGTATAGCCTGCCTTCAGACCTTGCACCCCGCTGGGCAGAGCTGGGGATAAATAGAGAGTGGGCAAGCTAAAATAAACCAGAATAGATCCAGACTGTAGTTGGCAGAGGCCCAGATGACTACGTGGTGCCTACATGTGGTAGCTATGTGGTGTCCACCCCACTGGGCAGCTTGACCAGATCGTGTCTGGAGGAAGAGGAGCAGGCCTCAGTGTTGTGACCCCTGTGGGACTTGAGGGACTTCAGGGAAGTCTGGCTTGTGAGGACTTCTGGATCCTGTCTTCAAGTGAGTACAGAGAGGTAGAGAAAAGCTAGCAGAGTTGACATCCCTCCTTATGGGAATAGGAAGCAGGGACTCTGCTCCGGACCATTCCAAAGTCTAACGGCTGAAGGTTTGTAGAGGCCCCATTTCCCTGTTCTGGGCATGCATGTGACTCTCACACAGTCATCTTGGCCGTGAGCACGCTGCCTACCTGGATTTAGGGTCTTTCGGGGCTTTGGGGTAGGAGCTTCTGTTGCCACACCCCCAACACTGTGCTGTTTTTACAAATGTATAGTTGTGTTTACAGGACAACTTTCAGAAGTCTCTTCTTGTCTTCCACCCTGTGGAGTGGGTCATTCTTGCTTTTTTTTTTTTTTTCTGGAAGGAGTGGCGCTCCAGAAAGTCAGATCGTTCATTAGGGATCGCACCTGGTCCCACTGCTAGTGGCCCCACAGACTGCCCAAGTTACCCACTGTCTCCTGCTTTCGGGGGGCGGGGGCTTGATCGGTCTTACACAGGTTTCCTGGTTGTCTGTCCGGAACCAGTGGTCTCCCACTAGTTCGGGTCAGCTTTTTCTGTGGGTTTCTCCATCATGGTCTTGACCCCTTTGCTGGTGTTATTGCTTCTCCCTCCTGGACAGGACTCAGGAGCTCGGCTCAGTGGTTAGATCCACAACTAACCACTCTGCATCTGCCTCTCTGCATCTGCTTCCATCAGTTATTAGAAGAAGGTTTTAGGAGATCATGTCTATTTCCCCTTCCTTGGCAGATCCATGTGTGTCTCTCTTAGGGTCCTCTTTGTTACCTTGCTTCTCTGGGGTTGTAGACTATAAGCTGGTCATCTTTTGTTTTATGCCTATGGGCCAGGCGGTGGTGGTGCACACCTTTAATCCCAGCTCTCAGGAGGTTGAGGCCAGCCTGGTCTGCAGAAAGAGTTCTAGGACAGACTCCAAAGCTACACAGAGGAACCCTGTCTTATTTCTGCCTCTCTGCATGTTTTTAGGCCACCTAGCCCATGGACTTCTGGGTAATTCCTATGTCTGCCCCTCCTTTCTTGCCGAAAGAGTGCTAAGCTTACAGATTCATGCCTCCACCTCCAGCTCTTGTGGGTTCCAGGGAACAGACTCCGATTTGTTCGGAGACTCCGATTTGCAAAATTGTCGGATTTGCAGTGTAAGCCCCTTTATCCACTGAGCCACATCCCTGGCCCCTCTGCTTCTGCTTCTTTTTGTTATTATTGTTATTATTTTATTAATTTGTCTCTGTTGTTGGCCAAGCCAGTAGAGAACGACATGATGGCTTATGCCCAATGCCCAACCCAGCTGAGGAGCTCAGTTACATGAACTTGCTCTGTCATGAAGCAGTAGGAAGGGCAAGGGATGGGGCTTCAGTTTCACTGTCTTAAGTGATGCTCAGGTGACCCTCTGTATCCGTGGGTTTACCATCTACATATCCAACCAACCTCACGTCAAAATTATCTAGCGTGGGTGCTGGAGAGAGAGCTTAGTGTGGAAGAGCACTTGTTACTTTCACAGAGGCCCTGGATTCGGTTCCAAGCACCCACACAGTGGCTCACAACCATCTGTAACTCCAGTTCCAGGGGGTCTGGTACCCTCTTCTGAACTCCATGGCCGTTGTATGCATGTGGTGTGTATACACACACATTCAGACAAAGAAAACACTCATGCACACTAAGTAAATCTATAAATAATGTTTAAAAGAAGAAATTTTAGGAGTTTTTAAAAGAAAACCGAAATTTCAGTTTGCCTCATTCTGAAAAGTCACCCGTGAATGAAGTGAGGTGCCAGCTTCAGCGTCTCTTCCAGGCCTCCAGCTCCCTGACCCTTGAGCCTTTGTGCTGAGCCCGCTATGGTGTCGTCTGGTCGTGGGCACGTGCAGGCTTTTCTCCTTGTTATTCCCTGAACAGTGTCAGTTGACAGCTGCTTCCCTGGCCTTGTCTTAGGAATTAGAAGCCATCTACAGCCGTGTAGGATGTGCCCGAGTACCCTCAGGTCTCCCACCTCCAGGTTCCTGCAGAGAGAGACGTCTGTACCATTGAACACCCTAGCCATCTCCTCTGCTGGTCAGAGTCCCACCCCAGCACATTCCACACTGCCTTCAGGGGACAGTGACAGCTCTTGTGGCTGGGGTGTAGGTTAACACCTGGTCCCTGCCCTGAGTATGCTTCCCAGGGGTTTGTTGATCCCCTTTTTCCTTCAGTAGGATCCTCTGGCCTCCAGCTTCCCGGGGCTTTGTCTCTGTTCCAAGTGGTTCCCTGTAGGCTGTTTTATAAGTTTTATAAATTGGGTCTTAGCCGATATGGGAGGCAATACGTTCCTTCATGCTTGTGTGTGTGTGTGTGTGTGTGTGTGTGAGAGAGAGAGAGAGAGAGAGAGAGAGAGAGAGAGAGAGAGAGAGAGAGAAAGAAAGAGAGAGAGAGAGACCAGCTATCCTGGCTAAGTCAGCCAGACCCAAGCAGAAGGGAAGCTTTCTGAGTCCTGGTAAATCTCTCCTCCCATTCCCCATCCACTAAATGCAGACTAGGAGGCACTGGGATGGTCCCTCACTCACAGAAGGCAGTGTGGCTTCAGTTATTACTTATTTATTTATAATTATTTGTTTGTTTGTTTAAATGATTAAGCTCAGTTAAAGAGTGGCACCAACATTCTATATAGCATAGGGTACTGAAGCAAGCAAGCAAGCTGTCTATACCGGAAATCCCATTATTGATATTTGGTTACATGTCTACTTCTTGCTGCACAAGAAATCCTTTGCGGGACATTTATCTTGTGGTCTGTGTCGTTGGAAGGTTTGTGGCCCCTTTGCTATTTGCTCTGAGTGTCTTCCTGTAGGAAACGTCAGTCTGGCTGCTCAGATTTTGTCCTCTTCCCTCTGCTTGAAGCCCTGCAGTCAGCTCTAAGCAAGGAGGAGCAGACAATGGGTGTGTCTGGCTCACTGATCAGAGACAACGTTAAACTAGCCAGGCTCACCACTTGAAGGGCAAGCTGCCCACATTCTATCACTGCCTTTACTGCTTCAGTCTAATGTGACTTCATGCCAGGGAGTCCCTGCTTTCTAACCGAGATCCCTTTGGATCTGAACCTAAGGTAGTATTCCCTAAGGACACATCTGACAGAGCACACCTCCAGAATGTCCCCGCCTACCCTTTGTCTGCACAGACTCATTCACTGTGTTGTTGTCAATGGAGAAATTGAATAATCTCTTCTTTCAAACCCTTATGCAAGATGCGCGCTGTCCATGTTGTTTCTGACTGGTGGGCCAACCTGCAGTAGTGGCAGGAATCAGATGTGGGAGCCCAGTTTGGTGCTTGGAATGAGGTGGAGACATCCCTGCTCTGAAGGAGTTTCTGGCCATGCAGTCCTTCATTCGGCAAACGCCAGGTGCCATGTTGTTAAGGTAGCATGGCTGTGCCTGGCACAACGGTACTTAGTGAAAATTGCACGAGAAGGTATGACTTGAATATTGAAAAGTCAGAAGACATAGGGCGATATCCCTTTAATCCCAACACTCGGGAGGCAGAGGTGGGCGGATCTCTGAGTTGGAGGCCAGCTTGATCTACAGAGTGAGTTCCAGGACAAGGACAGCCAGAGCTGTTCCACGAGAAACTCTGTTCTCTGTTTGGGGCGGGTGGGGGGGGGAGGAGAGGAAAGTCAGAAGACTTACATCTGGAGGTCTCCGTGTTTCAGTTTGCTGAAGGTTTTCACGTAAGGTGCCCCATTGGTCAGTTTTGCAACCCTCTGAGGTAATTGTCCCCCTGGTTCCATGGATGAAAACTGACTCTCCCATTCGAACCTGGGTTTTGGCTTCCTGGCCCCGTGTATCTCTGTGGCGCTGTCCCTCCCAGCTGGTGTGAAGAGGCTGGGGCGGAGTGAAAGTCTGCGGGAGAGCATGTGGGAACGGAGACTCACCGTGGAACGTGTTCCTGCTTTTCCTGAGTGTGTAGTGACTCGGTCCATTTCCCGCAGGATCCTCTTCTGGTCGTCTTTGCGGTCCCCCTTGTGGCTTTGGGTTTTGTGCCTTTTCATTAAAAGCAAACCACTTCACCGCTCTGTGTCTCAGTGGCCATTAAATAAATCATCAGATCGTGAGTAACAGGCAGCAGTGGAGGGCATTAATAATTGAGCGCCCTAAAATAGACTTCTATCTTTGCAGCTTGCCAAGAATATTGGGAATGCAGGCTTTAATGAGATCATGGAGTGTTGCCTACCGTCTGAGGACTCCGTCAAACCCAACCCGGGCAGCGACATGTAAGTATGAGCAGAGGGTTGCCCTTTGTCTGAGCCCTGTGTGCAGGGGGGCAGGTCTGGGGACACCTCAGTTGTTGCTTCCCGCTGGCTGAGGTTCATTTGTTTTCACTTTGTTTTTTTTTTCTTCTTTAGTTGTTTCTGTGGGTCCAAATAGAAACGGGGTGTGACTGGTTTTGCTAGGTGACCAGAGGACAACAGGCTTTTTAGCACCTGAGCTACTTCCATGTACCTCTGCGCCCCTTGCCACGGTGCTTTCTCTTTGCCCGCTTTTCCAGTGTGGTGGATTGTGCCTCATCATCACAGACAGGCGACCATGTGCCATTCTCTCTGCCAATGTCCTTTAAGATGTACGACCTGTTGTCCCCTCCAGAAAACCTCTGTGTGTTTTACTGTTGATACAAACTGTGACCCACAAGCTGGTGTGCCTCGTTGTGGTTCCAGCTGACCCACTGATGGACCGTATACAACAGGGATTGCCGACTGGTTTTATCAGCATTTCCTTCAGACACACTGAGCTTGAGGAGGTGGACAGGGCAGTGCCATGCTGCTCCTCAGACCTCATCCCTGTTTCTTATAATGGCCGACTTGCCCACGGGAGGGCTTGAGGGTGGTGTGCCTGCCATACCAGAGTATGACTCAAAGTGAGGCAGATAGAAAGGGAGGACTAGGTCTGAGGCCCGCGAACAGACACCGCCTGTGTCTGAGCAGTACGACACCTCAGGAAAAGTGGAGAAGAAAGGGGAGAAGAGGAAGCTTTGCAGTCTGTAACACAAGCTGTGTCTCACTGGCATAGGCCTGAAGTTGAGTCAGTGGTCTGGGCACTGAGTGACAGAACAGTGTGTAGGGTGTGTGCACAGCAGAACACTTAGGTCTTTGTAGCTCTATTTGGGAAACTGAGGCCACAGAAGGGTAGGACCTGTATTGTTGCCTTGCACTCTGATCTGCTGAGGACATGGAACCATTCCAGGGGGCGAGTAGGAGGCTGTCAGTCATTGGCCACCTTGGGCACCAAGTGTCATAGACCAGCCTTGAGCTGGTGTTTGGTTGTAGTCTGTCGGTGTTTGCATCTCGTCATAAGTGAGCATTTGTGACATAGCCTCTCCCAGAGATTGGATAACATGGTTGTAAAGCATTGTCTTTTGCATATGAGATGCTAATTTCAGATCTGACCTGGAAAGCCAGGATTTCCCGTTCTTTTTCAGGCCATGGGGTGGGGCAAGTTCTTTACGGTTTGAGTCTGAGCCCCAGTTTCTCCCATAAAAAGGAAGAATATGCTGCCCACCTCAAAGAGGTATTGGGGAAATCAGAAAGATGGTTTGCAGTCAGCCTGGGTGTGAATGGTATTGATAACAGAGTCTACACAAGTGCCCTGACTGACTCTGTCTATTGAGAAATGAAGATCCCTTGCGGTTACTCTTCTCTGGGGATCCACGGGTGCACAGTACCTTCCCGGATAACTGGAGGACCGCAGTTAGTGAAGGAAATGCCATGGTCCAGCATGCTGAGTTTAGTGATGACTGGCTCTGGATGCTGGCTTTCTGGTTGTTTGTCTCTCTTTGCAACACCAGTCTCCTGGGAGGCTGTAATGCCAGTCAACTTTAAACAAAGAGTGTAGTAACTTTTCCATACCAGGATTAGAGACTGGAGAGGTGGCTCAGTGGTTAAGAGCACTTGCTGCTCTTGCAGAAGATCTGGGTTTGGGTTCCAGCTCCTACATGGTGGCTTCAACAAGTCAAAACTCTAGTACTTGAGGCTATAATGCCCTCTTTCTGGCCTCTGCAGGCACCAGAAAATGTATATGGTACACATACATACATGCAGGCAAAAACATTCATACACATAAAAATAAATAAATGAATCAATCTTTTTTTTTAAAAAAAAAGAATTACTTATAAAAGCAAGACATCTGTTTGTTCTAAGGGTAAATGAGCCAAGAATGAATTCCACCTCTCAACATCTGTGTTCAGTCCTCTGTGAGGCACACACGCGCACACACACACACACACACACATCCTTGACACTTCTCACAGGAAGTTTACACCCTCAGAAATGAGGGTGAATGGCTGTTACAGTGATGAAAACATGCTCCCAGTAATTCTTCCGCAAGTGAGATGAACCGCATGACCAGCCGTGGTGGTCCATGACCATAATCTCTGCAATGGCCAGGTCAAGGCAGGAGGATTATGTGTCTGTCTGAGGCAAGCCTGGACTATATAGTGAGTTCTAGGCTATCCTGGGCTACATAGTGAGTTCAAGGCTAGCATGGGCAGTATAGGGAGTCCCTTAATCTGACGACCTCCACCCACCTAAATAAAAGACGATTAATCGTATGACTCTTTGTGTGCCTCTAGAAGCCGGCTCATTCTTAGAGCATGTCATGACACTTGACAACATATTCAGCTTTCACATACTGTTCTGAGAGATTATGTTCCATTCATTTTTGTATTTGCCACCACAGTATGTTGCCTGTAGTGATTCAGTAAATATTTAATGGCTCAGTAAATCAAAGAAATAGCCCGTGCTCTATGCCAGCTTCATTCGGTGAATATTTCACGCCTAGGTTTGATAGAGTGAGCTGCTTGTAGCTTGATGTAAGTACACACGATCTTCAACCATATGCTGAAGGGGAAACCAAAGGCACCCACTAATGGCCTGTGAACCCCCAGTTGGGGGTGGAGGCAGAAAGCATGTGTGACCAGGCCGCCTAGAGGCCAGATTGCATCTGCTCATAGAGGCAAACTGTTTCTGAATTCCCGAGAAGCAGCAGGAAGCCCCACCTCCACTCCCCACTCCCATCCCAAGAAGAACACCAGATGGTGAGTTCTAGGACAGCCTGGGCTGTTACATAGAGAAACCCTGTCTAAAAAAAAAAAAAAAGAGTGCATGCCTTGTTCCCTGTCCTTCTGGAGATGAGAGGTCACATGAGCTGTGGCTCTTGGCCTGGTTACTCACCGGCCTCCCGATGCTGGCTTCCAGGACTGGTGTCGACTGTGTCTTACGGTACAGGTGTTGCATGGCCCAGGCTTAGAGAAATGCTATTTGTAGAGAGCTGCCTGTTTCTGTCCCTTTCTCACCTGGAAGGAGAGGATGTCGGGAGTGTTTCAAAATGCCGAATGGACCCACATACTCCCGAACCCCAGTGTCTGTCGGCTAGGACCCCTGCCATTTGAGGTGTGGCAACTGAATATTGTCAGTTAGTTTACACTCCCTGCCACTGACAAGTGAGTGAGTTTTATGGCACGCATGAAAACTGCAAAGGAGAGGGTGTAGCTATAACTATCTGGTAAGTAGGAAGGCACAAGGAAAAGGCACAGAAGAGGGCACATCAGGGCGACCAGCCCGTGTGAGGAGGTGGCTTGGGACAGCTGAAGAAGGAACATGTGGGTAGAGGGATATAATCAAGACACGTGGTTAGGTGCGGGGACTGCAGTGTGCTGAGAGCTCAGGGTCACAGGAGGGACAGCAGCAGGCAGCGGAGAGGATGTGGATGAAGCCCAGGACTGCTGCGTGAAACTATACACGCCTGTCCTTAAAGAAAGAGCCCACAGGGCCCCAAGAGGGCCGGGCCGTGTTGTAGATGATGGGCTAGGCAGATTGGTAGAGGCCTTCTGCGTCTCACCCGTCAGTTATGTCTGGTTTCAGGACCGCGAGGAAGGACTACATCACAGCCAAGTACATCGAGAGGAGATACGCAAGGAAGAAGCACGCAGACACCTCGGCGAAGCTCCACAGCCTTTGCGAGGCCGTCAAGACCAGAGACATTTTTGGCTTACTCCAAGCTTACGCTGATGGTGTGGACCTGACAGAAAAAATCCCACTGGCCAATGGGCATGTAAGAGGGGCTGCTGAAGGATGAAAAATTAGGGGTAAACAAGGGAGGTGTGTTCAGCCATGTTCTCCTCCATTATTGTGCCCACTCCCGGGACAGAAATAGGCAGCATGTTTTCTTTTCATTGGTAAATAAATGTGCCCGTTGAATATATTTTATCCTACTTTCTTGGGCCAGAAGTGTTTTTAATTTGGGGCGTTTTTAAAGTATGGAAATACTTTTATATAGTGAGATCTTAGAGGTTGACACAGCCGGCTTGTGTCTCTCAAATGCTGCACACACGGAGTTGATTTTGTCCAATACTGTCCGTGCTCCCCCCATTTTGACTGTGAGGTTGTCATCTGAGCTCAGGTGGGGGATTTTTCTGCTTGTCATGGAGTTTGTGGTTGTGTCCTGTTTTGTATTTATGACTTGCGTTCAGGTCGCCCAACCGGTTCACCTGCACCATTATGATGCGTGAACATGGCATTTCCACGTTGTAGATTCACAACGTGGAATGACCGCCGTGTAGGTCATCTCCTATACTTACTTTTGCCATGGACACATTTCAAATCTACTCAGAAATTTTGAATTTATGATTCAAATACATTATTAACTATAGCCGATACTGTACAGCAGGAACGCGCAAAACCCCCCCCCCCTTTTTTTAAAGGGTCTCACTCTGCTAGCAATCCTGCCTCAGCGTCCTAGGTACTGAGATTACATTTGTACACCACCACACCTAACTGACTCCTTTCAAATGGAACCTTTGTATGTTTTATTTATTTATTTTTAAAAACGGCTTAATTTAATTTTCTGTGTATGTACCTGAGTGTATATATACACCTCATGCATGTAGGCATCCTCAGAGGGCAGCAGAGGGTGTCAGATCCCTTGGAGCTGGAGTGACAGGTGGTTGTGATCCTCCTGATATGGGTGCTGGGATCTACACAGAAGTCCCTATGAGAGCAGCAAGCCATCTTAACTGCTGAGCCGTCTCCTTAGCCTGGGCAATCAGTTTATTCTTAAGCCAAGTGTGTAATGCCAGATGTTGAAGGGAAGCCCATCTGAGATGGGAAGGACTCCATCATCAGAAGCTTAAAAGCCTAAGAGGGCCACCTTCCCGTAGAGGGGTTAGTGTGGGCAGCTGGTCCCAGAGCATCTCTGAGGCCATGCTGAGGCATGCTGTGGCCAGGACCATCGTGTAGCTCATATTCTCGGGGTCCTCCCAGAAGGGATGGATACATCACCACCTCCAGCATCCAGATGATGGATACTCTTGGGATTGTGTCTGTGTTACACTGCTGGTACCTAAGGACCTGTTGAGTCTCCTGGTCTTTCTGACAGAATCCCATTGAGCACATCCACATACTCCAGGTCCAAAGAGCCTCCTGGTCTCAGGACTGGGGTCCTCATCCTGTGTGGCCGGCTACTAGGTAGGGCCATCATGTTTGGACCCAGGCTCCTAGGCTAGATCCACGAATGGGAACATTATAGGGTAGCAACATTTCCTCCTGGTGACAAAGGCTCACCCCAACGTTAGCCACTGTCACTCCCATTCTTTCTGAGGAGAAAACTCAAGCCCTGTGACTAGGGCATAATGTGCCCGCACTGCCCAGAGGACAAGTAAAGAGGCAGCCACCCTGTTCGTGCCTTTTGCGTTTTGGATTTTTGCCTTTCCTCTAATTGTGACCCTCCCACTCACCTTCTCTCTACTTGTGGTATTGATGTCGGGATGGGGACACAGCTGAGGTGATTTGAACTTGAAATGCTCTGTGATTAGGAGGGAAGGAACCAACCTCTAAGGTACCCTGTTAGTGTTACTCAGTTACTTTCCCATGTCTGTGATAAGACACCATAACCAAGGCTCCTTCTAGAAGAACTTTGTATTTGGGGCTTCCAGCTGCAGAGGGTTAGAGTCTGACCATCATGGCGGGGAGCATGGTGGCAGGCCGGGAGGTAGGTGCTGGGGCAGTAGCCGAGAGCTCACATCTTGAGACACATCCACAAGGCAGAGGCAGACAGACTGGACTGGAAATGTCACAAATCTTTTTAAACCTCAAAGCTCACTCCCAGTGACACATCTTTTCCACCAAAGTCACACCTTCTAGGGCTTTCCAAATTGTTCCACTAACTGGGGACCAAATATTCAAACCTATGGGGGCCATTCTCATCCAATCCACTAGATACGCCTCTTGCTGTGGTGATTGAAATGTGGGCACTCTGCACCATAGATGGACGTTTTTGGGGGAAAGGCTGTTGCACCTTGACGGTCCTGGGGTTAAAAGATGCCAATGGAATTCTAAATGTCTTGGTTTGAATTTCAGGAGCCAGATGAGACGGCCCTCCATCTTGCGGTCAGATCCGTGGACCGGACTTCTCTTCACATTGTGGACTTCCTGGTCCAGAACAGGTGAGTGTTGCACTAAGTGGATGTCTTTGTTCTTATTCTTGGGGCTTCCCAGCAAGGGACTAGGTGCTGTCTCTGCTGCTGGGGCTCTGTTGCCAAGATGTTCATGTCTCAGGTTTAAATATGAATTTTGGGGATTCCCTAGAAAAGCCCAGCAGAGTAGGAGAAGGCCTTCATGGTACCTGCAAGATCCAAGATATAGAGAGTCTAAGAGAGGCCCAGGGAACTGTGGCTTTCAGATCCCAGTCCTGGGGAAGACCATGTCAGGGCCAGGACCATCAGCTGTGATTTGAGCTTTTCTCTGGTTTGTCATGTGGGTGGGTCTTCCCCCTATAAGTCCCCACACAGCATCTCAATAGCAGAGAGCTATGAGGAAGAGAAGATGCATTAGCCCCTGGCCTAGGCCGGGAATTGTACATCAGAAGGAGAGGCTTGCAGCACCATCAACCCCAAGAAACTGTGACTACTTGTGAAGCCCAAGTTCACGAAACTCAAGATTGAGTCAGTTAGACTTGCTCTCCTCTGAGGCCAGCCCAGGGCCTGATGTAGGATGCTGGACGTTTGCTAAGTAGCCAGTTTTTATCTCTGCCTCTGCCTGAGTTCTTCTGGGGCAGCAGCCTGGTTTGGCCCCTTCTGAAATAGAAGGAAGACAGTAATAACGATAGGAGGCAGTTTGGGGTGAGCTTAGTGGTAAGCACTTGCTTCACGTGCCTGAACCCCGAGTTCCATCTCCAGCACAAAGAGGAAAGGAAGGGGAGGGGTTGTCTGAGGCGTTCCTACACTGAGGCAGCTGTTTTTCTTCTGCTGAGAGCAGTGGTTACCATCCCTAGGGTGCTTCTGTCCCCATTTGTCAGCCTATGGATGCAAGGATCCTGTCCTTTCTCAGCAGTGCTGACACTTCAGGTGCTAATCGCTTTTATCACATATGTGGAACACATGCACCTTTGGTTTTGGATAACCTGGTTTCCATCTATGATAGAAGAACACGTGACAATCTTCAGAGGTGTCCTGCTTCACCTGCTTTCAAGGACCCATCCTAGGGCCAGACTTGCAGGAGTCCCGGGACACTAAACTGCAGGGTAGCATTCCCTTCCCAGACAGAAACATCAGGAAACAAAATGAAGGGGGCTGGAGAGATGACTCAACTGTTAAGAGCACTGGGTGCTCTTCCAGAGGACCCGGCTTCAATCCTCAGCACCCACATGGTGGCTCACAACTGTCTCTACCACCCATCCTAGGGAGCACAGTGCCCTCTTCTGGTTTCCATTGGTACCAGGCATGCACACATGGCTCAGACATACATGCAGACAAAATACCCATATGGATGAAATAAAATAACTTTAAAAAAAATGAAAGAAAAAAGAAAAGTTTGCTTCTTCTCTGGTGTGTCAGGAGGGGCAGGTTGTATAGACTAAACAGTGTCCCTGGTGCTCTGGACACCACAGGCCAAGATGGAAGGGGGCAGGTACCAAGATTGCTCCAGGGTGTGCCTTTCTCTAACCCAGTGGTTCTCAACCTTCCTAACGCTACGACCCCTTATTACATTTCCTCATGTTGTGGTGACCCCCAACCATAAATTATTTTCGTTGCTTCATAACTTTAATTTTGCTACTCCTGTGAATCATAGCGTAAGTATCTCTGACATGTAGGCTGTCTGATACACGACCCCTGTGAGAGGGTCGACTGACCACCAAGGCGTCGCAACCCACAGGTTGAGAACCGCTGCTCTAGCCCAAACTCAACAACAGCACAGCCATCATTCATTCATTCTTCTCTGTCTTCGTTGCATCTGAGCCGGCTCGTTCTGCTAATGCACATGTCTCCCCACGCGGGGCAGCCCTCTGGCCCGTGACTCTGCTGTTTTATCTCTCTGTGTCTGTGTTCCGAGCAGCGGGAACCTGGATAAACAGACAGGCAAGGGCAGCACGGCCCTGCACTACTGCTGCCTGACGGACAACGCCGAGTGCCTCAAGCTGCTCCTGCGGGGAAAGGCGTCCATCGAGATAGGTGAGCTGCCCGGGTGCGCTGGGGTGCAGGGGGTTCTGCTGGCCCCCTCCTTTCTGCAGCTCAGCACTTCTGGTGTTACAAGAGGGCTTCCCCCTACCTGTCAGAGTGACGTGACGTGACAGGCTCCGCCTACTGTCTGTCTTAGCCTGTGGCCACACCTGCAGCCCTCAGAAGCCCTGAGCTGGGTGAATCTAGAGCGGCTGTGTAGCAACCCTGGCTCACCTCCCAGAGTCAGACTAACCTTTGGACGCAGGAGGTGCTATCACTAACAGGTCCTCATATCCCTTGCCCCTTGTTTCCCCTCAGTTGCTGGTCCTTGACCCGCTGCCCTGCCAGGGCACAGTTTTCCCTGAGCCATCCAGCTGGGGTTGGTTCCTGGGGAAGTTTTAGGAGAACTACTGAGCCAGACGAAAAGTAGATGAAAAGATGCATTCTGCTCGAAAGCCACACCTACAGAAGCTAATCAAGGCAGACGTGGTGGCACTTATACTTGAGAGGCAGAGGCAGGGGGATGACTGCGTGTTTGAAACCAACTCAGTCTCTGCAGTGAGTTCTAGCAAGGCAGAGCTATTTAGAGATAACCTGTCTGAATTTGAAAAGAAGGGGGAAGAGGAAAGCAAAGCCCAAACCAACCTTGTTGACAGAGACCTAAGAAGAAAGGGCCCCAGCTCAGATGTCTGACCTACAGGGCTCACTACTTTCAGTGTGTGTGTGTGAGGGGGGGTGGCACCCACTCTGCATTCACTTGACCTCTGGATTGCTTGTCACTGGGGTCCTGACTTTAGTTGGTTGGCTGCCTCAATGGTTCTTAGGTAGCACCATCCTTTCTTTCAAAACCATAGCTATTCTACGCTACTATATTCTGTACGACCAATGGCAGCCAGCTCTGCCCAGGTTAACCTGATCACATCCCGTGACTACTGCTTTCTTTAGTGAGGTGTCCCCACACTGCACGAGAGAGTCTTCATTATCAGCTTCATGGGACTTGGGATCACCATGGAAACCAGTCTCTAGGCGTGTCTCCAAGGGCACTTCTAGTGGCATGGATGACAGCATCCCCTGTGCTGTGGCCCTGGACCTACTGAACCGAGATGGCGCTACAGAACTCAGCAGAGTTCCCAAGCAATAAAACACAAAAGGCTGAGAAACGCTTAATGATAAGTTCAAGATCCAGGCAACTCAACAGCACCACCAGCTGGGGATCGAGCCTTCAACATCCGTGTCTCCGGGGATGTTTTATATGTAATGCGTAAGGCCAAGTTCTGATGTCTCCTTACTCTACCTTGACTTTCAGCCAACGAGTCAGGAGAGACGCCGTTGGACATCGCCAAGAGGCTCAAGCATGACCACTGTGAGGAACTGGTGAGCATCCGCCATGGGCAGATGGCCTGGGACATTATGGACTTGGGGGTGGGGTGGGGGTAGAGTCGAGCCCCCTCTCTGGACACTGACAACAAGGACAAGGTTATACACCTGCTGGGGTAAGCCCAGTGCCCACTGACCTGGAGGAGCTCTCAAGAACCTTGAGGAACCTTCGCTATCCAGATGGCTACCCCCTTGTGGTGAAACTTGTGACTCAGTATGTGCTTATTGTCCATGATCGTAGCCCCAGCTCCTCAGGCAGCAGGAAGAAAGGATGGGCCCTCACACTGTGTGGTAGCCGTGAATGCCTGGCTCTCGCCAGCGTGTGCAGCTGGCTTTCCTACTTGTATCCTTAAGTCCACAGCATGCAGGTCAGTCCGTGCTGCATTTCTCTTCTCTTGTGGAAGTAGAGGAGCTGCGGACAGTGGAAGGCTCCCCAGTCCTGGGCTTGCAGTGGGTTGTGCCTTACTACAGCTTGGGGAACGCACACCCGGACTGTTTCCTCATTTGTGAAGCTGAGTTAGTTGTACCTCTTTGCAAAGTTATCGTCAGAATTGCTGAATATTATTAACACAAATACACTGTGAGTACTCAACCCACAGAACCTTCATGCCGCACAGGTAGACGATAAGCAAAAGGCGCTTGTGTAGACTCCACCCATCAAGTCATTGAACCTATAATCCCCCGTTTTTGGATGAGGAAGCAGGTACAAAAGAGTCAAGTGACTCACTCAGAGTCACACAACTGACTCTTGGGAACAATTAAGCCCCAAACATCAACTACACATAAGAAATTGGCGTACGTCCTATACAGATGGAGTGGAATTAACCAGCCACTTTCTATGAGAGGACGGGAGAAAGGGACATAATTTCCTATAGGGCTTATTTCTCTTGTCGTGAGAAGACTGGCTTGGTAGCGAACTCATTCCTTCTGAGGTCCAGTTGATCCCATGCTGTACTAATACCTGTAAGATGGTCATCACCTTTTAGGTCCCCCAGTCCCTTGCCTGTGTGGCATACCGCATGGTTTCCAGAGAGTCACCGACAGGGAGGTTTGGGTTATCCTGCGTATCAGGTCCAGGGACTGCCACGGAGATCAGGATTTAAATGAGCTATCCTGGAACAGAGTGGAATCTCCCTGTGAGTCCTCCAGGCCCTCCTCCCTGACTTGTTCATTCTTGGCCTGGACAGCCATACGTGCCTGTCCTTTGTGGTTGAACACGGGGGCAGCAACACTAACTGTCCCTCCTCGTCCTTAGCTGACTCAGGCCCTGTCAGGAAGATTTAACTCCCACGTTCACGTCGAATATGAATGGCGATTGCTGCATGAGGACCTGGATGAAAGCGACGATGATGTGGACGAGAAGCTTCAGGTCTGTGCCTCCTTCTCCGCGAAGTGTTACCGTGGCTGGGTGGTTTCCGTGGCTGGATGTTTTGTGGGGATGTTCAGTGGGTTCCAGGCTTCCCTTTCCTGTTTCTCTCCCCGCCTCCTCTCCAACCCATGCCAATGGAAGAACGGGACAGGCGTTCTATGATTGTAGGTGGCTTGTAGGGGAGAACACCCCGCTTGCTATGGAGCCATTATACAGCATCCTGTCCTGTAGGCAGGTGAAACTGTTTGCGTGGCTGGTCATGTTTACCCGAGTGACCTTAGAAACCAGCACGTGGGAACTACTCGGCTGCCTTTAGAGTTCATCGGATTCAACTCCTTTTATTGGATGGGGACTTCAAAGTCTCAAGAGAGACTGGTTCAGCCCGAAGGACTTAAGTGTTTTACACAGCCTTGGAATGAGCATAGGGCTATAGTCCTAGTCCAGTTCCGTCTCATCCACACTGCCAAGCATACCTTGGGGGTACCTCAGGACGATGCCATCTTCACACGGGTGTGTGTGCACAGCCAAGCATAGACAGCCTCCCTCCAGTCCTTGTTACGACCCTAGCTCGCTCCCTCACAGCACACTGCCAGGTGTGCAGTATGTTCTGTAGGAACATGAGAGGAAGGACCTGGTCAAGCACATTTTCATGGTTTAATGTTTCCTCCCCCATACAACTTTAATATTCTAGTGTAAAGTATAGTAGGTGAACAATAGCTGCAAATGGAAGAAAGCATCTCTGAGGGCTGTTGGACCGTCTGTGATGTTTCTTACAGTGCGGATCTATAAATGACAGAACGTGGTTGTAGCTCAATAAATCTTTATTTATAAAAGCACTAAGGTACTTCTGCCAGTCCTGAGGACCTGGATTGCATCCCTGGGGCTCACATGGTGGAAGGAGAGAACGGAGCCCCACAGTGTCCTCTGGCCTCCACATGTATACCAATACACGTACACAAAGAACACACTATTTTTTTTTTTTTTAAGCAAGTGATAATCCATGCGTCAGGACTTCACTGCAGTACCTCCGATTTACTGGATTCTCAGCAGCTCAGCATTTCAGAGGAATTGCGAAAAGGACTTGTTGATCTGCACTAAATTAAGCACAGTATTGGTGGAGATTGATCGCTGATCGGTGGCCAGGGCCATTCTGTCCCTTAAGATAGTGTGTTAGGGAAGGGATCCTCAAGGACAGCTTGTAGCTAGGCTGAGGTAGCTGGTTGGTAAGATGAAATAGCTTCTGCTTAAAGTCCTTCACAGAAGAAAGACCTGCAATTAGTAAGCCACGGCTCCGTAGGTGTGTGTGTCTTGATTTTTTTTTTATTTTATTTATTTATTTATTGGTTTTTTTTCTAGACAGGGTTTCTCTGTAGTTTTGGAGCCTGTTCTGGAACTAGCTCTTGTAGACCAGGCTGGCCTCGAACTCACAAAGACCCACCTGCCTCTGCCTGCCTCCCGAGTGCTGGGATTTAAGGCATGCGCCACCACCGCCCGGCCATGTCTTGATTATAAGACAGGAGATGGGTGGGATTTAAAATCCTGCAGCTCAAATGAAGCGGCGTTTGTCGGGCTGAAGTGGTGCCTACCACGCAGCCATGATGGCTGCGTCTCACTGTTCACAGAGCTGATGTCACGCAGGGAAGGCCATACCTCCAGCTCATGCTCTCTTCCCTGGCATCTCTCTGCAGCCCAGTCCTAACCGGCGAGAGGACCGGCCCGTCAGTTTCTACCAGCTGGGGTCCAGCCAGTTTCAGCCCAATGCCGTGTCTTTGGCCAGAGATACCGCAAACCTCACCAAGGACAAGCAGAGGGGCTTCGGGCCCAGCATCTTGCAGAACGAGACCTACGGAGCCATCCTCAGTGGCAGCCCGCCCTCCTCTCAGTCGTTACCCCCCAGCACCACCAGTGCACCCCCGCTCCCACCGCGGAATGTTGGCGGCAAAGGTATACGATTTTAAGTCCCCTGCAAATGCCTATGGGCTTTGACTTTGAGAAGTTTGATGCATGGGTGTTTATTCTGTAGCTATTTTCTCTCTGCTGCCCTAAGGAATTCCCTTGCTCTCAGCTTGCCAAACCTGTAGGGATTGTATTTGGGTTCTTACTCTGGCAGAGGAAGTGTGCAGGGGGATGCAGGGCTGTCACCGGCCAGCCAGAAGTAACGGCCTGCAGCTGGCCGGCTAGGCTGCCCTCCACTACCCGTCCCGCTGTGCTCTCGTCTGTTCCCCTCTTGGTCTCCTCCCCGTGTCCTGATTATTCCCTTTCTTCTTCCTCGGGGCTAGCTTAAGGTACATGATGACTTTGTGTGTCTAGCATACCTTTGAAATGAAGGAGTAGAGAAAAAGGTGACAGTGCTCAGCCTAGTTGTAAAAATCACAAATCTTTGAGCCTTCCTGATGTCTTAGGTGTGAGCAGCTCAGGAACTTACCCCATCTGAACATAGCAGGTCCACTCAACAGGTGACTTTTTTTTGCGTGTGTGTTTGTTTGCTTTTTTTTTTTTTTTGCAAATTTGGAAACACAAAAGCATTTTTCTGATAGTGAAGAGCTCCCAGCCACTCTGCTTCTTGAAGTGGCCAGCAGATGGCCAGCCCAGCTCTGCCAGGCTGCCAATCTTAGGTGGTAGTCTTCAGGGCTTCCCAGGTCAAGGAGGGGCTTCCCTGGAAAGAATCGTAGTTTCCACTTGCTGTCTCTGGGCTGTGGCTGCTGTGCATAAAAGCATTGCAAATGTTCCCTTGCTGCAGCCGGTGGCGAGGAAGGGGTGGGCAGTGTGGGGTGATAATGGGTGTTAAGTATCCAGAAGAGCAACTGGACAGACCACATGTGTCCCTGCCCTGCCTTAACACTCCAGGAGGCTAGTGAGTCCCTGAGGAGTAAAGGCACAGAAAGCAGACCCTATACTCCCTGCTCCCACCGGCACCCCCACCTTTGATTCCTCCTGGACACTGTGAACACCCCCTGTCGCCTCCTACAGGCTGTCCAGGGCAGTGCAGGTCCTTCCAGACATCTTACTGGTTCTTTATCCCAGAGACATATGTTAATTCTGAAAGGCCGAGAGTCACAAAGACCGGGTATCTGCATTCCCAGGAGCAGCTTGTGCTGGCTCTGTGGCAGGAGAGATTTCTTTCATTCTGTTGGACGATAGGAGAGGATGGCTCAGCTCCTCGTATTGGTTTCTTGCAGTCCTGGAATCAGAGGGATTGCTTTTTCCACTTTTTTTTGGCCATTCTATATTTAGCTCTATTTTTTCCTCACCATAGGGCAAGTGTACCAGCCCTGGGGCTGGCCCGGGAGGGCGTAACTCCTCTCTGCCACGCCCGACTCTACCTTAGCCACCCCTGTGCAGCTGAGTAAGTGGCACATAGAAAGACCATGACCAGAGAAGTGCTATCACTTTAGGGGTCACCCGAAGCTACCGGATCATACGTGCTGAGTTCCGGGCAGATATATATTACAGGAGGCTGGGGAGAGCCCTGGCCCTCATGTGTGGAACACACGCTTCCTCTTGCCCACACTGGCTGAGAACAGGGTCTCTCTAGGAGGCAATAGAAGGGCAGAGATGAGCAGAGGGTCCCTGAGTGCAGTGCTCCGTAGATTTATGCCTATTTACTTCCTCCTCCAAACCGTGGCATTTTTAAAAGCTCGCCATCAGATCGAAAAGGCCACCTGTGAGACCGTCCTGGAGCAGCTTATTGTTTTATTATTGTTGTTAGGATTTCTGGGTGCGTCTCCCTTTCCCTACAAGGGAAAAAAGTAAATCCTCAGGGTTCTGTTGCTGTTCTAGAAGGTTCATGTTGACCATTTTATGAGAGAGAGGATCAATAACAAAGTATTTTGTTTCTGTTTTTGTTCTGTGTGTGTGCGCGCGCACGTGCCTGTGTGTGCTTGTGTGTATGCGTGTGGGTTTAGTTCAGGCAGCCACCTCGGCTAACACCCTGTGGAAGACAAACTCTGTAGGTGTGGACGGTGCCAGCAGGCAGCGATCTTCGTCAGATCTGCCAGCTGTCCACCCACCGCTGCCCCCTCTGCGAGTGACGTCTACCAGTACGTTTTTTTTTTTTCCTCCTCCTTTTTCCTTTCTTGCCGGTGGGCCTTATGAATCTGGAAAACAGGGGGCACTGTTGGCAGCCACTTGGGGGAGACCGCTGTGGGCTGCCCACAGGTACATACCAGATGTTGCCCGTGTGGCCCCAACCCTTGCAGTTTCTACCTCAAGCCCCCATCTGTTCCCTCACCCCACTCCCAAGATGGCTCACTCTTTTCTCTGTCTCGCCAGCATTTAACAACATTCTTTCCCTCTCCACACAACATCCTTCCAGTTCCTCTAGCTGTAAAGTGATTTGGGGGTGGTCATTTCAGTCATGATCTGGCATGAGATTTTCTTCACGCCAGTGTGTAGTTGGCAGTTCCCCCACGCTGGGAGCCAGGCAGTGGGAAAGCACCTTTCTCCTGCTGCAGAGCCAAACGTTTTTTCCCCTGGGTGAGTGACACCAGCCCTGTCTGCTGCCCGCCCGCTGCCTCGGCCTAAGGAGCAGGAAATTCAGCGTCTCTGAATCTGTTGCTTCTGGGGCACTGGAGCTCTTCCTAGGCCACGGTGCCTGCGGTCTTCCTAGGCCACAGAAAGCGCCCCAGCCCTGCTGCAGGGGTTGCCAAGAGAGACTATGTTAGCGGCTGCAGCTGCAGCATGTGTCCAGGAAACTGCAGAGAATCTGGGGCAGGGTCCAGCTGCAGTATCCTCAGGTCAAGCATTAAGAGGGCTCACAACTGCCCTCCCGTCTGCCTCTCAATATGGTGCTCCTGAGTGTTTCTGTTAAAACGGAAAAGGGAAGAGAGAGGGGCCATGAACTAGATCCTTTCTTTATTTCCCCCTCCTTCTTGTTCCACATACGTTTTTTGCTTCCATCTCGAGCAGGCCATCCACAAGGGCCTGGCACTCTGTTATTTTTGAGATGGGTGGGGTGAGGGAAGGCCCAGATGCATGACCTCACTCTGTTGGTTTTGGTTTTTTTAAATGTCTCTGCCCACTCTGGTGGAGTCAGTTTGCCTCTGAGCCACAGCCTGTCCTCTAGACAATACAGAGAGTAGTAGACACCATCACCTCTCCCCTCAGACTGGGGACCCCATACCACGATTATCACAGTTTGTCCTCAAAGCTTAGCCCGCCCCCCTAGAGGCCAGTAGGGTATATAGAGTTCAGTTCCCTTTGGGTGCTGGGTCATTTGATACAAGAAGAACCCTGGCCCAAGCATTCTGGGTTCCCCAGGGCAGATGCCAGCCTTAAACCTAACCTCAGACTCTGGCTTACTCTGTTGGTTTTGGGGCAGTCAGCCGCAGAATCCAGGGCTGGCCCCAACATGGGTTTCCAGCTAAACACACACAAACCTCAGCAAAGTTTCAGTAGTAGTTGAGGCTTGCTTTCCTCATGGGTTTGCTCCTCGCAGTTTCCTAGAGGAGACAAGCTGAGAAGCAGCCATGGGTGTTCCCAGAAGAATGCTAGAGAAGAAGTCTCCAGAAAGAGACTAGGTGTGTGACCTGGGGAGCTCACGCTCTCTTTCCCTCCCCATCCCCATCTTCTCTCCACAGATCCCCTGACCACCACACCACCCCCGCCTGTGGCTAAGACATCAGCCGCACTAGAAGGCATGAGCCAGCCAAGCAAGCCCTCCCAAGCCGGGGCCTCGCAGAGCAAGCCCCCACCCCTGCCGCCCCAGCCACCCAGCCGCCTGCCTCAGAAGAAGCCATCTTCCGGGTAACTGTTGCCCCTGCCTGGCCACTCTGTGCCTGGGCACAGCAGCCAACACTGCCTCTCCCATTCAGAGGGCTTCCAGTGGTCTTGGCCCCATTTCTGCATCTGTTGGGATTTCTGTGTGAGCCCTGGACATCTCCCATGTTTCTGTCATGCTAGGGTGAGAAGCCAAGTGCTGGGTAACTTACTGACCAGCTCTCGAGGGTCTTCACATTAATTCTGCGAGGATGTTCTTAGCTGAAGGCGTACTACACACTTAAATCTTAAACCTGCATAATCAATTTAGATTTTTGTGCTTTAACACTGGGATTTTTGGAGTCAAGTTTTTAAGAAACTGAGCCCCCACTGGTTCTGTGTTTTGCTCCCTAGAAACATTATCTTGAATGTATGGTCCTTCCACGGGGTCACTGAGATGTTTCCTACAGACAAGGGCTTTTTCCTTCATGCACACACTGCAGAGGGATCCAGTTACCTTTTTGACAGCATTTAAAATTCTTTAAATTTTATTTTATGTTTATGAGTGTTTTGCCTGCTTGTATGTCTGTACCCGTATATCTGGTGCCCAAAGAGGCCAGATGAGGGTGTCAGAGCCCCTGGAACTGGAGCTAAAGGTGGTTGTGAGTCACCGTGTGGGTGCTGAGAATCGAACCTGTGTCCTGGAAGAGTAGCCAGTGTTCTGAACCACCAAGCTATCTCTTCAGCGCCCCCCCCCATCTCTAAATCTCTTACTCTATGCTTTTATAGTAGAAAGTAGATTTCGTTTGAGTCTTCTTTTTGTGGACTCGCTACTAAGGTGTGCGGTCTGGGTGGGAGGTGACATGGTCAGAGCTACAGGATACCAATGTCTGTGTACACAAACTTTCCTTCATCTCTTTCTGTGGTCTGTAGCTCTCTCTATTGGAACCCGGGAGTTTATATCACCGTATCCGCCTTCTCTCACATAGGCAGCGCCAGCACTTCATGTTATGAGACATACTCTCTTAGCTGTGTGCATGTGAGTCCCATCACCAGGGTTGCAGGGTAGCACAGTGGAGTGGTTTATCTTTTCTGTAGCTAGCACCCCCACACACGCACCCAGGATGGAAATTGTTTGGTAAAGACTGGTGTCATGGAGGGCTCCCCACTTTGTGGACTTGGAAGCTGTTGCTCCCTCAGCAACACTTCAGCCAGTCAGCTGACCGCAATGCCCTCATACGTACGATCTCTTCCGGTGGTGTGACTTCCTGAAGACCTGGGCCCAAGACAGGCCGCCCCAGACAGGCCAGGCCGTGTTACTTTTGCCCTGTTATTTGTGTGAGCAGTGCTGGAAGCTGGGCCTGAGTGTGTGGAGAGGGTTCTGTTGGGACACAGAACAGCGGTGACTGTGCATTCATCCTCTCGGCTCCCACTTGCCACTCTCTTTCTCAGTCATGCAGTCGCTCCTTCCCGTGAACATTCTCCTGGCTCTGCCTCCGTCTGACCTAGAGGCCAAAGCCTTCTTTCCCTGCTTGGGTCAGGTCCAGTTCCAGCATCAGCACTTGGACCTGCAACCTCTAGCGCCTTCCCCCACCCCAACCTCTACCCAGGCCATCTGTCCCCTGCTGCGCCATAGTCTTCTTACCTCACCCAGGTTGGATTTTTAGTGTGATCAGATCACTCACCCCCAGCCCGACCTTCCCCCACCTCTAACAAACCTCTTGGCTAGATGCTTTAAATCCCGCCCCCGCCCTCACTGTCTCTTCTAATATAACTCCCACTTCGCAGCTGTCAGCCGCATTGGCCATTCCTTTAAATGTGCCATCTTGGTTTTATCGAATTATCCAACTGTTCCGTGCTCCCCCAGATCCCAGAGGTGAAATCTGGGTACATGCGCCTGGTTGACCCCCAGACCCAAGGCCCCATGCCTTCCTGACTCCTCCCCCATCGTCCTTTGAAGAGGAAAGGTGATGGGGGCAGCATGTTAGCTTCTCGTACCCTTCACCAAAGCCTGCCCCCTAGAGGTGGGGCCTGGAGCACCATCCCCAGCTGGATTCCTCAGTACCGCCGTCTTCCTCAGTCCCCGTGTTGTTTCTGTGCCAGAGGGGTCTTCTCAATTTTGCCTTTTTAGTTTTCCATTTCCATCCTCACAGGAAATCGAACTCTCTTTATAGCATCCGGGTTTTGTTCACCCTATTATATCTGTTATATCTCGTTTTTTAAGAACTGAATGATTTGGGGGAGGGGTGGGCATTTGCCTTGCTGGCTTCTGGGGTTTGGCCTCTGTGGTAGAAGCCATTTCCTGTAAATGTCCCTGCGTGCTGCTGTTCTGCTTCAGGTGAGACCTCACACCCTCAGGCCAGGTTGCACGTGGTATTTCTTCACTGTCACAGAAGCTCAAGAGAAGCAGTGTGAAGAAGGAGGGGCTTACTTTGGTTCACAGGCCTACCAAGGGCCGCTTGGCTCCACTGTGCTTGGCCTGTGGGGAGGCAAGCATGTCACAGTGGCAGAGACCAAACTGTTGACCTCCTAACAGCAGGAAGCAGGGGTCTGGAATGGAGAGTGGGCTGTAGCCATGCTTGGTAGGTCCTGCAAAGGCATGCCCCTAGGGGCCCTGTCTCCTAGTTGCTGTTTCCTTAATGAAGCATGATTAAATAAAAACTCAGAGAGAGAGATTTGGGTTCAGCCTGAAGATCCGAAAAGGAAGGCAGCCAGCCACTTACCTGGCTCTTACCTCAACCTCCGTCCAAAATAGCGATCCTGCCTCCAGAAATCTCAAAATGAGAATGTTTTTGAGATCCGGTTCCTTCCGTTTTAGAATCTTCTCTAGGGCTGGGATTATAGGCATGCACCACTGTGATTAAAGACATACTCTGCCTGGTCGGTTCCTATGTCAACTAGTGTGGCTACTGGGATTAAAGGTGCGTGTTATTGTGGCTACCAGGATTAAAGGTGTGTGTCACCATTCCCTGGTCTGTAAGGCTGACCAGAGGGGCCGCTTTACTCTCAGATCTTCAGGCAGGCTTTATCTATTAAAGTACAGTTGAAATGACACCACTTTAACACCACTTCCCCAAAGTACATCATCTGGCAAGTGAGCATTTAACATGGGAACCTTCTGGGGGGTCGTTTCTATCTAGGCGCTAGCTAACAATAGGTTTTCCTGAGGTAGTATGGCTGTTTGTCTAGAGATCTCATAGTCTGAGTGGTTCCCCCGCCCCCCGCCATTGGGCAACCTCGGTTCAATGTGTCTGCCTGAAAGGTATATGATTTCTGGGAGTCACATTAAAATTAATCTTAAACTTAATCCCTTTGCTTTGAAGATGTTCTCTCCAGCTGCCCCCGTGTCCCTAGGTGAGATGTCCTGTGCTGTGCCCTCCATGGAATGGAAGCTGTCTTCAGTGCACTGGGGACGGTAGCTGGAAGTCCAGGGACTTGCCGGTTCCTGACGTAGTTTTGGGGATTTCTGCTGTCATTTGCTCTTGGCGAAGCCTCTTGTTTATTTCACAGCCTGCTACGTCTCCCACTTGCAGAGGCTTTTGGCCTGACAGGGATGTTACTCTATAGACCCGGGGACTATTCTAGGACTTCCCTTACCCTTGTGTAAGCGTTTCCTGCTTGGTCAGCTGGGCTAATCGCAATTCTTTCTGACATTTCTAGTTCTTTCCTTTTCAGGTCTTGTTCATTTGGCTTGAGTTTTCACTTTTGCTTGAGGAATGAAAGTATTTTTTATATGCTATCTCTCCCCCTCCCACCTTTTTCCCTCTTTATTCCTCTCTCCCCACCCCACTTTCTTCATGATCCTGGGGGTGGTACCCAGAGCTTCATGCCTGCTATGAGTGTGTTTCTCACTGAGCGGCAGTCCCAGGCTACAGCTTGACATTTGAAAATCAGAATGCTTGTGTACTGCTTTGCCAAGACATCTTGCTAGAACCCCAAGTGCACACTTGCACTGTAACATTCTTAAACAGTGGTTTGAAGGTTGGCTGCTGAGTTAACACCATGACAAGTATGCTTGCTTCCCAGGCCCCTTTGCTAACAGCCGAGGGTTGTGCTTCTCCTGGTCCTTGTGTGCCTTTCCTCTTCCCTCTTGTAATGTTCTTGGATTCTCTGCCTCCTGTGTGCTACTTTTTACGGTGCCAGGTCATGTCTTGAAGTTCTGGACAAGAAACAGTGGGCTCCTGGCACTCCGAGGGCACGTGAGATCAGTGGTACTCGCCGGCAAGTGACAGGTCATGGCGTCCTTCCCAGCTGCTTCCCCGGGGCTCACAAGAGCCAAGCTAGGGCTGCAGATGAGTTTTCCCACTGGTTTTAGTCCAACTGAGAGAGAAGGTGGAGGATGAGAAAGCAGATGATGTTAGGGTGTACTTCTCCGAGGCAGATTTCGATGAATGGAACCAGGCTGTCACTGTTGGTAGAGTTCCAGTTTAAGGGAAGACATGGTGTATAGTCTTTGTAATGGAAGCCCACTCCTCCCCTAACCATTTGAACAAGATACAAACCTATCATTTCGTATTTGTTCTCTTAGAGCAGGAGACAGCCAGAGCAGGCCCACAGGCCAGCTGCCGCCACCGCTTATGCCCACGAGTCCCAAGTTATCGGTGGGTTTTGCGGCATGTGAGATTTCTTGCACTTGCAGATTTTAGTGCCTGTATCCTCGTTCCTTTTTTTTTCCTTGCCGTGAAGAGACACCGTGGTCATGGCAACTTACAGAAGGAGTTCATTGGGGCTCATGGTGTCATGGTCTGAGCTCATCGTCATCAGGGTGGGGGCGTGGCAGCAAGTAGGCAGGCGTGGCCCAGGAACAGCAACTGAGAGCTCATATCCTGAGCCACAGGCGCGAGGCAGAGACAGGTTGGGGAGGCACTAACCGGGCCTGGCATAGGCTTTTGAAACCTCAGAGTTCACCACCCCTAATGACAAACCTCCTCCAACAAGGCCACACCTCCTAACCCTTCCCAAACAGTTCCACCAACTGGGGACCAAGCAGTATTTAAGTGTATGAGCCTATTGGGGCCATTCTCATTCAAACCACCACACCTGTAAGTGACATTTTGCTGGCATGGCAACACCATCCATGGTACCTTCCCACCTCATTAGCAGACAAAGCTAATGGTTGTCATAGAGACTAACTCACAAAAATTTGACCTTTGACTTTTTATGTATTAGCATAAGTTAGCCTTGAACTAGTGACCCTTCTTCTGTTTACCTGGCCTTTGAGGGCAAGGCTGGCTGACTATGGTCCTCTGCTGAGTAGCTCTTGTGAGCCCTTCATTGACCACAGAGTATGCTGTCGGCAACACAGCTTCATAATGTCTGCTAGGACATATGTGCCCAGAGGCAGTGGGGATCAAGTTGGGTCTTTGTTTAGGTTTTTCAGCCCCTTGAAAATAAGAATACCACCAAGTTGTGTTTTCTTCCCTCTCATCCTGAGTCTGCAGACCAGCGCCCAGACAGACTCACTGGGGCTGCAGAGGAAGTGACCTGTGGTGGAAAGAATGCTATCCCAGGCTGCCTCCCTGCTTCCTCGGCCCCTCCCAAGGCTCGCCTGCCCAATTGTTTGTCTGACTTCCTGCTAGGTCCCCCAACATCCCTAGGCGACAGAAGAGAAAGCCCTCTTAGCCCTCCCCAGACCCTGGTCCCTTTTCTCTTTAGAGAATTCACAGAGCTAGTGTCCCATCTTCTATAGCTGAAAAGTCTTCTCTGTAGATTCACCAGTGGTGAATCTGAGTAGATAGAGCCCCCCTCTGTCAGCCGTGAGAACCACTCCTGTCTGTCTCTACTGCATGCTGGAGGAAATGCTGGACACAGGGTTCAGTGGGCCTGCCATCAGCCATGTTGGTTCCCAGAGCAGGGGCCCGGGAGTTCAGAGGCATGCGTGATGTCGTGATGCTGTGTGTGACTTGTGGTGATGTGATGTCTGCAGAGACCCTGACAGAGCCACCCAGGCCTGATATTAAGCTCCAGCCCCTCCCCTTTCACGGGATGATGGAGGCTCAAGTCGGGGCTGGAGTAAGCAAATGAGTGGAAGCAGTGATAGGTGCTTAGCTTCTGCCCCAGGCCACCGTGAACAGGGGTCCCTGCCGTGCTGGGTTTAGGATCAGGATGTAGCACTTTGCTCTGGACCTTTCCCTTTCAAGGGTGGGGCTGGGGTGGCAGTTACAGCAAGCACCAGCTTGAGCACAGATCGGGGTCCCTTATCAAGGGCATAAGGTCATAGCAGGTAGCCTGGGTGAGCAATAAATCTGTATTTCCTTCCTTCTAGGACTGACAAGCCAACCCCACTGATCAACAAAGGCCAGCCAAGAGTGCCTGGTAATTATTTAACTTGGAACAGGTTGATTTGTGGGTGGGTGGGGGTGGCGTGTCTAGATAGCTGGTCAGCCCTGGTCAGGGCCTGGAAGCTTAAGTTTCTTACACTGTAAAGCCGGGAAGTTCTCTGCCTTCTACAGGACTTCTCTCTTGATACCACAAAATGCACGGAGAGCCCCGCTTTTAGACATAACTCCGTGGCGCTTACAGCTGCTGTCTCAGAGTTAAAATGGATGGGCTGGGGCTGGGGGTGTCTTGTAAAGTTGCTTTGTCTTGGCCCTAACACAGAGGATTGATCTCTCTGACAGAAGCTCCAGGCCCTCTGTCCAACGCCATGGCCCTGCAACCCCCAGCACCCATGCCTAGGAAGTCACAGGCGGTAAGTGAACAAGCCTGCTATCCTGTCCCTGGCTCTACCCATTGGGATTGCTCCAAGGCAACCAAGCTTTCTGTTTCTCCTGGGCGGAGGACTGAGGACTTTTTTCTGGTGCTGTTTCTTGACTGGGGAGCTGACCAGCTTGACCATCTGTTCACTGCCACAATAGAGTCCCCGCCAGTGCCAGACCCCGGGGGTTTCATTTCCCAGGCTTATCCCGGCTTGCCTGACCTCTGTGAGTTTCCCAGCCCAGGTGCGTGGCTCATGAGGCAAGCAGAAGACAGAGGCTCGTTCTGTCACACTGGCCCCTGCACTAGCCCCTCACCCTTTCTCTCCTGACACAGACCAAGGCTAAGCCCAAGCGAGTCAAAGCGCTTTACAACTGCGTGGCTGACAACCCGGACGAGCTGACTTTCTCTGAGGGGGATGTGATCATTGTGGATGGAGAAGAAGATCAGGAGTGGTGGGTGAGTCGGGGGGCCGTGAAGCCTGTGCACAAGTCGGGGGGTGCATGGAGGGTCTGTGTACAAGTCGGGTGGAGCCGTGGGGGGGTGGCACCTGTGCACAAGTCGTGAGGGGCATGGAGGGTCTGTGTACAAGTCAGGGTGGAGCCGTGGGGGGGAGTGGCGCCTGTGCACAAGTCAGGGTGGGGCCATGGGGGGGCCTGTGCACAAGTCAGAGTGGAGCGGCTCGTGGGGAGGGGAGCTGTGCACAAGTCGGGGTGGAGCCGTGGGGGAGGCTGTGCACAAGACAAGGGAAGCCCTCAGCCTAAGCAGCCTAGGTCTGCTGCTACCGCCAGATTAACATGCAGTGCCTTCCACATCCTCTGGTGTCTTCTGTATGGACATCCTCCTCTGAGTGCGCCTGATCTGTCCTCAGGTGTAGCTGGAAGTGTTCTCCGTCCCGCTGGTCCCCCCTGGACTGGTTTTCCTCCGCTCGCCTGTTCCTGAAGCCACTTATGAAATATATGAAATAACCACTCTGAGGCTTATTATCAGTTACAGTTGGCCACTGTCTTAGGCTTCTTACTGGCGAGCTCTAACTATTAAATTAACCAAATCGCCACAAGGTTGTGGCTTACTGGTAATGTTTCTTTCTCCTTTGGTTGGCTACATGGCATCTCCTTGACTCCGCTTTCTGTCTCTGTCTCTCTCTCTCTCTCTCTCTCTGTGTTATCTTTGTTTAGATTTTCCACCTAGCTTTACTCTGTTAAGCCATTGACCAAAACAGCGTTATTCATCAACCAAAAATATTCAGAAGGACGTCCCACGTCACTTAGGTGAACACCTCACTATTATAATGAATGGGCCACTCGAGCTCCATTTCCAGAGCACCCTTGACCTGAACTGGGAGTGTTGTGGCCATAAATTCCACACGCAGCCCTCCACTGCCAATGTGTGGAGCGAGGCATCCAGAGAGCTAGGCTCAGGGCAGAGTCCTGTGTCACTTTGATCCCGACACAGGCTGCACCCTGCTCAGCATCCAGCTGGTACAAGAGCAGCGTGGGACTGAGCTTCTCCCAGCAGCCCCTGTCGTTCAGACCCGACCACTTAACAGGTGGAGGACCTGGGCAGCAGGTGCTTAGATCTATACATCTGAGTGACATCATCTCCGAAAGGAAGTCGTGCACAGCACTGCAGCCGAGATGCCATGGGGACCAGCAGGGATGACATGGGTGGTAGGCTGGGGATGAGGGTGTAGGGACGAACCCGTGGAATGGAGTGTACATAGAGAGAGCTCGGCATGGACTGCCACCCAGTGGGCACTCGGGGCCCTGCCCTGTAGACAAAACTCAGATACCAAGTGTTTCAAAAGGTCCCTTGGGACTTGGGGAGGCACTTTGCTTGTCAGCCACAAGGAGTTTGACCTGATCCGTCTGTAGCTGCCTGTCCCTTCTGCAGCCTAACCCCCAAGTTCTCTGGTGGGTCTGTGGCTCCACCCTGCAGCACCATTGCTGGTAGTTTGTCACATTTCTTGAAGCAACTAAGGGAAGAAGTTCCCTTACTTCCATTCCCATCACTTTCCTCAGCACCTCAGCTCCCAGACTCCTTCCTCTTCTGTGTGCTGAGGAACTCCCGTGTATGGCTGGGCCTGGGCAGAGTCCTGCACTGGGCTCCAGGAACCTGGCCTCACCCCTCCACATACACACCCACAACACCTACCACCAGGAAGCAGGGTTGGAATCACTGTATTTCATCCTGTGTGGTGGATGGATTCCAACCTGACTCAAGCTAACCCAGTGGAAAGCGTCTGTTTCCAAGAGTATGGAAAATCTGGACAGCCACAAAAGAAGTAAATGTTACCGTGACTACAGAGCCTGCCTCTCCTGAGAACCCAGCGTTCTCAGTGGCAATCTGGAAAAAAAAAAAGTGTAGTTTGACAATTTGCTAATATCATGGACATGGTTGAGATTATACATGTGTATAATTTATGCTATTTACCCAGACTGAATTTTTTTAAAGCCTTTCTACAAATGCCTGATGAAATATGAATGGGGCCACATCATTACTTTGGCCAAGTTTTATACAGTTTCTTCACTCACGGACGAAGTGGGAGTGGATCCAAGATGACTCCCCTGGTGTCTTTCGTCCTGCCGGGACCCAGGGGCAACATCTCTCTGCTCCCCTGTAGCCGTCTGAGAGTGTATGAGGGCTTGTGGAAGGAGGCAAGCACAGGTGGGAAGGAAAAAGAAAAGAAATGGCTTAGCTGTTTTTCCATCATTCTCGGGCAGAAATTCCTCTGCACAAACAAGTATGTGTTACCCCTCTGAGTCGCTGATGTTTATAACCCAAACTTGCTCGTTTCAGATTGGCCACATCGACGGAGACCCCAGCCGCAAAGGAGCCTTTCCCGTCTCGTTCGTGCACTTTATTGCTGACTGAGTTGCTAACTGAGCAGAAGGCCTTTCTTTAATCATGACGTTCCATTTTGTCATTGGTACCGAGGCTGGCTATAGCCGGTCTCCTGGATCCTGCCGTATGGCCACCCATCGTCTCATAGTACCATTTTGTTCTGAAAACTCAAAGGCAGTTTTTATATTCAAGCAGATTCTTTTTATAGGTTGTGGTTTTCATGCAACATTGCTATACTTTTACTAGGAAAAGCCGAATGTCCTAAGAGTGAGGGGGCAAGAGGCTATTTTAACTGTAGACCCAGGATCCTGCATTTTCAGGAGTAGCTAAGCCTAAAAATGCTTAGACGAATTTGGAGGATTCTTCCAGCTTTCCTTAGCGCGGTTCTGCCATTGCTTAGCTTTGGCACTGTCGGTTCAGCTGACCGGAACCGCGCTGCTTCAGTCTGTTGCCGTACCCTGAGCTTTGTCCACAGACGCCATCCATTCCCCTGTAAGACATATATTCCTCTGAGACCCAGCCAGTGTCTGTTTAAAGCAACTTGGCAATTTACACGTTAGCCTTGTACTTTTCCGGCCTCAGCCCAAGGTGGCAGCTGCCATGATCCTGCATGTATGTATGACCCGTTGTTGTGAACAGTCATACCTGGCATACTACTGATGGGCTATTAGGACATCGCAATTTTAGCAGTCTGTTCTGCACCAGTATTCTTAAATTGCAGTTCCTGAATTTGGTTGAAAACTGAGGATGATGGATTGCAAAAAGCCCTTGAAACCAGCTTGTGTGCCCTAGGTGTTTTAGGATTTGCCTCCTTCAACGTCCCCCGTCACTCAGAAAGCAACTGTACACGAGTGGATGCAGACCACAGTGAGAGGCAGATGCCTCATTGTGTCCTCGTGTGTGCCACTGCCTTCCCCTCCCAGCTCCCAAGGACACCTGCTCTGCTTAGTGTCTTGTCTTTAATAGGATTCTCCAAAAGGAATGGTAGTTACACTGTTTTGAAATTTAGCCTGTTCAGTTGTTTGTATTCAAGAGCATATCAGAAATCTGTAGATCCTGGGGAGCCCAGTACCCCCAGACATCCCAGTTACACTATGTAAGGCCTCACGTAACTTTGAAACTCACAATATGTGGGGTGGGGGTGGGGGACTATAGGTTGTTGTATATGATAGAAATCAAAACTCATTTGTTTCATGAACTTGACTGTCATACCTCTATTTAATAACTGTAAGCATAAAAGTCATGGTAGAGAGATGGGAAATTCTGGCACGCTTTTGGAATAAAGAGGCGAGTATAGGGTGTGAACAAGAGCTGGACTGCGAGCAAAAGGAACGGACTGAAGTGTAGGCTTGGCAACAAGGCAGTGATGTTGTCCAGGCGACACCTGATCGAAGCAGCTCCGTCTTTACTGTCTTTGCACAAGGCTCTTACGAGCACGGAGCTTTCCTTTCTTTGTCTCAAGGCAATCAGGACAAACTGGAATGTTTTATGATGCTATATAGTGATTGTCTCCTGTCTTTCAGATTCTGGGTAAAAACATGTTAGATCTGTATCAAAGGTCAGTCCCCCTCCCCCCACCCCTTCTCAACACTACTTGTTACGTTCACTACTTGTTCATTTCTATCGTTTAAGCCCTTCTAGCCACTTTTCTCGTAGACCCGAGAGGATGGACAGATGCATTTGCACAGTGTACCTCTTTACAGTGCCCCTCACCCACCATGCATCTGTATCATCCTCTTTGGTGACCTGGTGCCAGCTCTCTGAGGAATCACGTTGATGCATATCAACATTGGAACTCCAGTCCCAAGCTAACCTATCAGGTTCACTGGTACTTAAATGCCTAGGAAACATTTTCCCACTTTCTGGTGGTGCTATTGTGTGGTAACGGATAGTGCTTTCTACCAGAAGAGAAATTTAATCGACTTCCCTCCTAATTATCCTTTCTTAGTTATTTGCTCTCTGCAAATTGAGAAAACTGAAAGGAAAACATTGTAGATATCTATTTATATTTAAAGTTTACATTTCATGAGTGTCAGCCGTGGAATTTGGGCTTCATTTTTATTTTTATTTTATTTTTTGCCACTTTCCGTCAGGTCTGACTTGGAGGGAAGAGGACTCAGAATATGGTGCGCAGACTAGTGTGATCTGTTGAGGGTGAGGATGAACTGCAGCCTAGAATGCTATTTTGAGATGTGTGATACTCGATTCATTCACTCGGTTACTTTGGTCTAGTTGCAGCGCAACTGTATATACTGTATAACCTAAACGGATTATTTTCATTGTCCTAATGCAGTGATTTATAATTAGAGCATGTTTAATAAATTGATTTCCTGTTAACCAGTCATTTGACTGGAAAAAAAAATAAAGTACTTTTAAATGGACATGGTTTTCCTCTTTCAAGTATTAGCTGTTGGCAGTAGAGGGTATGAACCGTAAGATCCTTTTAAACCCATTCACGAAAACCAGCAGATGCCCTCCAAGGTCCTCTTGACTCTGAGATGAACTCCCGTGTGCTGGGTAGTATACGGATAGGACCCTTCTGTTAGGGTGCTTTTCATCTTGACATTGCTGTCGCTACTCCAAGGTCATGTGAAATCGAGGTCCCCAGTTCACACCTATGCCTGCCCCTAGCCCAGACTTCCAAGCAAGTAACCCTGAGACTCTGGGTCAGTACAGTATGCAAGTCTCATTCAGAGCAATCTTTTATGACACATCAGTATTAATTAAGCCTGGGTACATTTTAAAAAGACAACAGAAGTTTCTTTATCTTATTTTTAGATTTTATTATATGTATGCACGACTGGCTGCATGTATGTATTGTATACCACATGTATGCCTGGTACCTGAGGAAGCGAGAAGGGGAAGTCTGCTCTCTTGGAACTGGAGTTACAGGCAGTTTTGAGCCACCTTGTGGGTGCTGGAAACTGAACCCAAGTCCCTTGCAAGTGCTCTTAACTCCTGAGCCATCTGTCCAGCCCCAAGGTTTCCTCTTAGCCCAGAAAGTAGGTAACTACTGTTAGTGACACTTTGAATGGCCACTGGTATTTCACACGTTACACTTCCTTTAGAGCCCTCACAGGTCACCATTGCAGAGGGAAACAGAAAGATGCAGGACCAGGCGAGCTCTCGGATGGGCCAGTTTCCACGGGACTGCAGAGGTCAGGACTTGTCGGATGACAACACAGAGTCAAAGGCTGTGGATAAGACCTTGCAGATTGCTTGGGCTTGCTCCTGCATTGTACAAAGAGACACACTGTTGCAAATATGATCAAAACAAAGTGCACAGGATTCTCAAGGAAATGAACAAAATGACAGAGTGAGAACAGAGATGATACATCTCTCAGGAAACTACCTGACTATCCCGACTACCTCATTACTTCCCCCAAAATCTACACATCAGCACCTGCCCAGTCCGTGAATATTCCTGAGATGGCGGACAGTAATGGCTGCTACTAAGCCCTGAGCCTGAGAGGATGGTGGCTCAGGAGTGGAGGGAGCCCTGACCCAGCCCGGCAGGAGCGGTACCCAGCCTGAGTAGCTGCTGACCCAGGGTTTACTCCTGCTTGCTGATGAGCACTTATGAGAAGAACCTTTGAAAGCTGTGGGAGAGTCACAATCACCATGTCACCTGCTGAACAAGAACACACAAGATGTCTCACCAGGCTGTTACACTGATAAACCCAAAGGCTGTATTCTTCATTGCTTGCATCCGTGGTCTTGAGTGCCAGCAAGCTCTTCCCGGCTCCCAGGCCGTCATCGTAGCACACCATCCGGATGATTAAATACAGGGCATGCCTGTGCAGAACACCCTGTGGAAATCACACGGCCTTCAGGAAGCCGGGATGTGGCTGCCAGCGTTTCACAGTTCTCAGAAAACACATTTTCCCCATGCAAAGTGCACTGGGAGGCTTGAAAAGATGGGTCAGTGGATCTGGGAGAAAGAACTACACAGCTTCCCAGCCTAAGGGACACTGGTATGCCTAGTTATGGGGTGGCTTGCTCTCGGGATCACATTTTCCTGTTTAAACCCAGAGAAATAGGAACAAGGTCATCTATACTGTCCTCACCTCTGCCTGGCCTCCACGTCAACCAACAGCTACTTTCAAATGACATGGGGTCCCTACATGACACACCCTAGGTGCTAGCACATATGTGGGAAATACAAAAGAAGCCCCTGCTGTCCCTAAGAGCTTAACACCAGCAACCACCCAGGACCTGGGAGACCCAGGTCCAAGTGCACCTGAAAGGCTAGGGCTCCTGATTCCCTAGAACGAGCGCTGCACTTACATGCTGATCCGTGGTTGAGACTTTTATGCCATACTTGGAAACGCCCAGAATAAACTCCTCCTCCAGGGGAACAAAAGGCAACTTTCCATCTTGCTTCAGAGTGGAAATAAATCACAGCACACACATTAAAATGACACAGTCCCCTCAAGTTTGATTAGTTGCTTCTGGTTTCTGGTTGTCACAGCCTTGGGCCCTTTACAGTTTCCCCCAAATTCAGATCGATCATCTCTGTACTGTTCTGTCCTTTGTGATGTAAGCCCTAATGACAAATGGAGATCCTAGCCACAGTTCCTGGTGACATTAAAATACTTACACTATAAAGCCAGGAATGTTGGCACAAGCTTTTAGTCCCAGCACTTGGGAAGCAGAGGCAGGAGGATTTTGTGAGTTCAGGGTCAGCCTGGCCTGTAGTTTCAGGACAGCCAGGACTGTGTGTGTGCCTTGTCTTAAAACAAGCAAAATTTACACTATTTAGATTACAGGTCCTCTAGCTCATCTTCATGTGAGCGCAAGGAGTGAGGAGGAAGTTGGGGAGCAGGGACCATCTTTCTCATGGTGTTTTCTGACTGCTGAGATAATCTTGCTAGCTAAGGCTCCCAGGGCTCCAGGTGACAAGCTGTTGATGAGTTAACAACACTCAGAAAGTCATCTATCAGCAGGATGAGCTTTTCAGAAACAGAGCAGCGGGTGATAACTTACTGATCATACCCATCAGCTGGCCTCATCTACCTAAGAATACTGCCTAATTTGTCTTCTCTCAAAAAGATATTACTGGCAGATAATAGGTGTTCTGCATTGCAAATGCTTTTGTGGAATTGATGAATTACAGTAATTGAGCCATGGCCAGATGCCTCAGTTTCTGGCCCTCTGAGTATCTGTAACAGCCTGCCAATCATTCTCACAGATCTCAGACTCAAACTAATGCTGCTGTCAATAATGGCATTTTATCAAATAAAAGCTCTGCGGTGGATGTGCAATTCGGCCATTCTTACAGGACGGAGGGAGCGCTAATACAATTTTGAACATCTTTCATATAATAACAGTACTTGTCACTTAGGCTGTTTGAATGACCATATTCCAAGCCAAATGCAGTGATAAGAACAGGCTCTATCAAAAGTTCTGCTAAATTGCAAATTAGATTCACTATTTTTCCTTGTAATTACCTTTCTTTATGGCCATAAAGATAGGAGTCAGTATGCCCAGTCTCTGACTAAGAGACTTTGGGTTATCTGTGTTGTCCTGGCTGTTCTGGGGCTCTTCCTATACAAACCACGATGGCCTTGAGCTCACAGAGATCCACCTGTCTCTGCCTCCTGAACTGTAAAGGTATGAGTATAGATCTCATAATTTTATTTATTTATTTATTTTTGTGTTTTCGAGACAGGGCTTCTCTGTGGAATAGTCCTAGCTGCCCTGGAACTAGCTCTTGTAGACCAGGTTGGTGTCAAACTCAGAGATCCACTTGTCTCTGCCTCCCAAGTGTTGGGATTAAAGATGTGCGCTACCACCGCCCGGCATAATTTTATTTTATAAACAGTATGGTGCTACCTTAATTTTGCTACTTGTAGAATTTTGTAAGATATAAATACACACACACACACACACACACACACGATATCTATTAACATATGTGGGTGTTTTGCCTGCATGTATATATGTGTGCCTGCATGCAGTACCTGGGGAAGCTGGGAAGGAGGGTTAATCCTCTGGAGCTGCAGTTACAGTTGGCTGTGAGTGCCATCTTGGTCCTGGGAACAGAACCTGGGTCCTCTGTGGGAGCATCCAGAGCTTTAACCACCAAGCTATCTCTCCAGCCCAATGATAATTATTTTTTTTTGTATTTTTATTTTCCTGACCTGAGTACAGTTTTGAAGCCCCTCTCACCTTAATTCTTGTGGAAATGGATTATAAAAAAATGAGACACGGGCTGGGCTTGGTGGTACACACCTTTAATCCCAGCATTCAGAAGGCAGAGGCAGTTGGATCTCGGAGTTAAAGGCCCGCCTGATCTAGAGTTCCAGAACAGCCAGGGCTACAGAGAGTAACTGGCAAACAACAACAACTAAAGATATTTTTGGTCCATGTCATGAGTTTTTAAATCGGTGAAACCATTTCAGTAGAGGAAGGCTCTGACAGATTGCTTTAGAAGAATCTACCATCTAAGCAGTGAGCGCAATCAGCTCTTCAGTAAACCAGGAGCCAGGTCAAACAGATACCGTAAACATTTTGTGCCTGGGTAAAGAAACTTTCCCCCATGAGACTCTATCTCCAGGGAACCTTGCATGGTCTAAGACTCAAAGCTGCCCCAGGATGAGCTCCAGACTTCAGCCAAAGTTGGTGAGCACCCTGCAGTGGACCCAAGGGAAACAGTCTCCTTCAACACCATACATTCAGCACCATCACAGCCAGAGGCTTCCACTGGAGAAGGGTTTTGTTCTGTCACTCACCTGGGCGACATCTATGTAATTTATCAGGTCTAGTGGTCCTTGGAGACTCTTCCCCTGAGACAGGTCCAGTTTCTCAATGGCACCAACATACTTTATTCGAAACTCAGCGCACGTGTCTAAACTGTTGCTTTGTCCTAAGATTATAATAGATATGAACAACAGTGCCTACTTTACAGAAAGTTTTCTCTTGCTAAAGGATCTCTTTTGATTTTACTTGTGCAGGTGCTTTACCTGCATCTACACCAAGTCAATGCAAGGCCTGCAAAGGCCAGAAGAGGGGAACGGATCCCCTGGACTTGGAGTTGCAGACAGTTGTGAGCTGCCATATGGTACCTGGGAACTGGACCAGGGACCTCTGCAGGAGCAGCCAGTGCTCTTAGCCTCTGAGCCATCCCTGGCCCATTTCAAACAAACCAATTTTGAGACAAACTCACTCTGTTCACCAGGATGGCTCAAGAGCACGGAGAGCTGCCTGTCCCAGCCTCTGAGAGAGCTGGGATTAAAGGCGTACTCCACCACCAAGTCAGCTTTTTGTCTGATTTTTTTTTTTTAAACTGGGTTTCAAAGCAGGGTCTTACCATCTAGCTCTGGCTAGCCTGGAACTTACTATGTAGACCAAGCTGGCCTCAAACTCAGAGATTCACCTGCCTCTAAGCACTGGGATTAAAGGTGGGCACTTCCATACCTGAGTCTGCACCCAGCTTCTTAGCTACTAGTTTCTAAGCAAAAGATTTCTTGTTATAATAGGGAGGAACTTAAAGTTTTATTAACACTCTTTCCTCAGCGATCGACTGCACCAGATGTATACAAGCCTCAATGACTGGGGCAGATAAATACTGGTAACCTTCATTTCAAAATACTGGTAACCTTCATTTCAAAACACGCAAAATTTTAAAAGTCAACTAGACAGGAAATGCTACCTTTATAATATATAACTACTACTTTCGGCTCCTTCTGCTTTATTTCATGATTCAGGACGCCTGCTCTATCATTCAGATCTATATATTTAAACACGTATGTATAGGATAATGTCAGATAGAAGTCCTGTAACAGATGGCAACAAACTCCAGCTAGTTCGGAAACTCCCACAAACCACCTGTGACACCTGCCATGCTAAGGAAGTGCAGTGCAATTATGTTTACTCTGTCTGTGTATGGAAACGATGCCAACCTTTTGACACTGGAGGTCAAGATAATGACTTCTTTGTGACAGCATTAGTTTAGGTGCAGTGAGAATGAATGTGCTGTACTTCCAATTACCAGCTATTTTTAGAGCTCGATTAGGAGTCTCTTAATTTCTAAGGTGCTACCAATTTCAGGCGGCCGTGCCTGGGACACACGTCCTCATTTGCCTGTGTCAGCTGTCATCTCAGTGAGGGTCTCTGGGGACAGCCTTTGAGGTTAATGGATCCTAAATCCTTGGCCACTAACACCTGCCCAATCCCCAAAACCATTTAAGCCCAAGTATGATTCAGTCCCTGCTACCTATTAAAAGGCAGTTTGGAATCTGCTAAGTCCTTGCCCCAGATGCTTTCAAATGCTTGCTCTCAGATCCACTGAGGACACTTTATCTGTGTGCCTTTGGCAAGCTTCTACCACACAGCCCTTCCCCTGTCTCACCAAGTCTGAGCTGCCCAGAAGTGGCAAAGGACAGGGAGAAAAACCAGGAAAGGAGACCTAGCTCTACCACCTAGAGCCACAAGAACAAACACAAGATCAGCCACCAGGTCACCCGGCCCCTCATACCTGAGCTTTTGGTGGAGTCCGTATCAAGGCTGGCGACAGTGCTGGATCTTGAAAGACCCCCGAGGCTGGAATCCACAGACTGAGAAGAAACACAGCAAGACGTAGGTCTTCTCTGATGCAAAGATCTTATTAAGCTGAGCTGACACAATATCTGGTCAAGTATTCAAGCAGACTGACTGCAGCTGAAGACATTTTCCACAGCAACACATGACACATGACTACTCTGGAAACCACGTGACACCAGATATACGTATGGTCAGCATCTTCAGTCTAGGGCTCAGCCACTACTAGCTCCCCTCCCTGACTCTGCCTTATACTCGGAGTCTTTGCTGTCCTGTTCTTTCCATGGAACCTCAAAAGAACCCGTGTAGAAAGCCAGCCGGCGAGCAACATCCCTGTCTGGCATTGAGAGGACACCGAATCTCCACATTCCTAATCTGGTCCTCTGCAATTGTCCCCCTAGTTTCCAGCCACAGCAGGCTCGCGGTTGTCAGACAACATGGCTGTAGATGTAAACAGAACAACAAAACGACATGCTTGGTTCCACTGGACTCTACTGTCGGTGTCACTGTGTCTTTAGGAAAGGCGCTCTGTGAAAGCCCGATTTAGAAGGTGCGTGTTCCATAAATCCACTGCTAGGCAGCGTTCAGTCTCTGGTCCACAGGACCTAACCGAGCTTGCTGTGAAAAGCTGTTAACTGCACAACAAACCCTAGACTCCAGGAAATCTCACCCCTCAATGCCTGCAATTTCTATCTTTTAAAAATAGTATTTTATGAGCTGCTGAAATGGTCCAGCTCTTCTAGTGGACCTGAGTTCAGTTCCCAGCACCTACAGCAACTCAGAACCATTACTCCAGTCTCTGGGTTCCAACGCCTTCTTTTAGACTTTGTAGGCAGCCACACTCCCCTGCATATAACTCCCCATTTATAAACAGATAACTAAAAACAAATCTTTAAAAATTAATTAAATAATAAAGTGTAGAGTCAGGCATTTTGGCCCACACTTTTAATTCCTGCATACGGGATCAGGAGAGGAAGGTTATGCTGCAGGGCTCCTTGCTGTGAGTTTGAGGCCAGCCTGAGCTACCTGGGACCCTATCTGTAGGAGAAGGACTAGAAAAGAGGCTGCATGCAGGTCACTGAGGTAAGGCCACTTGTTGCCCAAGTCTGACAACCTGAGTTCAACCCCTACACGGTGGAAGCTGTGATGTGAACAGAAATGGCCCCACAGATGCATATGTTTGAATGCTTGGCCCATAGGGAGTGGCACTGTTAGGAGATATGGCCTTGTTAGAGGAAGTCTCACTGTGGAGGCGGGCTTTGCGGTCTCCTATGCTCAAGCTACAATCAGCACACAGTTTACTTCCTGTTGCCTGCAGAGCAAAGATGTAGAATTCTCAGTTTTTTTCTCCAGCACCATATCTGTCTGCCTGCACACCACCATGTTCCTTGCCACAATGATAATGGACTAAACCTCTGAACTGTAAGCCAGCCCCAATTAAATGTTTTCCTTTATAAGAGTTGCCATGGTCATGGTGTCTCTTCACAGCAACAGAAACCCTAACTGGGACAGAAGCCTAGATCTAACTCCTGCCAATTGTTCCTCTGACCTCCACGTGTGCTGAGGCCCACACTCGCCTCAATCTCTCAAACAAAAAGTTTAAAAAGTATTTTTTTTAAAAAAAAAAGTTAAAACAGTGTGTTTAATGAGACCACACATAGCTTTAGTCTAATTTAGTTGAATGAATTTAAGAATTTCAGAAAATTACCAAAATAATAGAGTTTGGGCAAACACAGAGTGTCAGGTAAGGTGATGACTCGGGTCCTGGCATGGCCAGCACTGCCCAGAGCCTCTGACCCGCCCTTTTCTCTAACCTTGCTCTTCGTGCTGATCTCACTGCTCTGGGAACTGCTGCTGCTGTGCCGCTTCTTGCCTTTGCGAAACATCTTTCACCATAGCTTGATCCCGAGATGACGCCCTGGAGGAAGAAGTGTTTCCAGCATTGTCAAGAAAAGCAACATCAGCCGTGGTGGTGGCACACGCCTTCAATCCCAGCACTCGGGAGGCAGAGGCGGGCGAATCTCTGAGTTCGAGGCCAGCCTGATCCATACAGTGAGTTATAGGCCAGCCAGGGCTACACAGATCGGGTCTCCAAAACAAAAAAAGCAAAAAGAAGGAAAACCAGCAGCAGATCATGCTCCGCACAGCACAGACAGAAACCAGCAGCCTTTGCAGGCCTGTGGGTGTGTTAGCCTTCCTTCCCTAAGGTGCTGCTCTGGGAGTGTGGCTGTGTGGTTCAGCACTTGCCCAGCAATGTGTGAGAACCTGGCTTACTCCCTATTACTCCCTTAAAGACTTATAGAAGGCAAGGAGAGCTAGAGCACCTGCCGCTCTGCTAGAGGACCTGATTTCGGTTCCCAGCACTGACTTCAGGTGGCTCAAAACCACTGCTGTCCTAGCTCCAGAGGAACCAATGTACTTTTCTGGTCTCTGATGTAACTGCATACCTATTGCGTACACACACACAAAGGACACATACACATTAAATAATACATATATGCATACATACAATTTACAAAAAACCAGGGTAGTAGAGTTGGCTCAATGGTGAACAGCAGTTGCCGAGTTTAGCTCCCAGCACCCACACGGCAGCTCATAACAGTTCATAGCTCCAGTTCCAGGGGATCCAGTGCCTTTTTCTGGCCTCTGTAGACACCAGGTACACATGTGGCTCATAGACATACATTGCAGGCAAAACACTAATACATATAAAAACAAGTAATTATTTAAAAATATTTACAAAAAATGAACAAACAAAAAACCCTGTCAGCAGTCATAGGTGAAAAGTACTTTTTTCTCAGACGAACACACATCACCCAGTTCTCAAAGAGCCAGATAGATGTCTTACGTTTCAGTTGATTCAAAATGATGAAAATAAAATATATGACACATTATCAACCAAGATACTGAGATCTAGTGCCCCCAGGTACTTGGGACAGTAGCAGGGTAAGAGCCGAAAGCATCTGCACACCGTAGATGAAGACTGTGCCAACATTCACACACACACACACACTCTCACACACACACTCCCACACACTCACATACACACTCACACACACTCACACACACACACTCACACACACACACACACACACACACACACTCACACCCCTAGTATTTTGAGACAGGGTCTCTCCAGCCAAGCTGACCTTGAACTCAATGTATAACCTAGGATGACCCCGAACTCCTATTTCTTCCACCTCTGCCTCTAGGATGTTGAGATTATAGGCATGCACCACCACACCCCTTGAGACAGACTCTTGCTATGTAGCCCGGGCTAAACTTAAACTCATGATCCTCTTATCGGAGCTTCCCAGGGGCTGGGGTGACAGGCAGGGACTACATTTCATGCCTGAAATGTGCCTTTTTCTTTTCATAGAGAAAGGCCTTTAAGTAAAAATCCAACGTAAAAAGCACTGGTGTCAGCTCCTCACCTCCCTGCAACCAGAAAAAGCAAGAGCTTAAGGAAGGTGGGGTACAGTCTACATTTTGTAGATGAGGGAGTCCTGACCTGATTTTCAACTCAGAATTTTTGAGCAAGACAATCCTAATACATTTTACCCAAAACTGATCTCAATAGATCATGCTTATACCAGAACCAAACACTTACTTGGTGTTGTTCTCCAAGGTCCTGCACACAGCGATTTGTACAGGAGCTCCCCTTCCCCAGATGCGCCCAGTCCCTTCCAGGCTGAACAGCGGACCTGGCAGAGGGAGGAAACGGGTAGTGGGTAGAGGACCCAAGCCAAGCTCAGAGCTTCTGCTTGTTCTTGTAGCACCCACTCTCCACCCACTCTCCACCCACCTTCTAGGTCCCTTGCCATGGCAGCCTGCACCTGAGCCTTTAGTCCACCTCGCACCCAAGCTCCTTCTCAATGCTCACTTTATTTGTAGCAAGAAGGGCTGACTCATTCACTCAGTCCTGAATGGGCAACGTGGTGGTTCCTACAGACAGTGGTGCTATTAGGAGGTGTGGCTTGTTGGAGGAAGTGCATCATTTGGAGGCGGACTTTGAGGTCTTCTACACCCAAGATACCACTCAGTGTTACAGACCATTTCCTGTTGCCTACAAGACGTAGGACTCTAACATAATTCTCCAGCACCATGTCTGCCTGTGTGTCGCCATGTCCCATCATGATGATAATGGGCTGAACCTCTGAACTGTAAGCGAGCCACCCTAATTAAATGTTTCCCTTTATAAGAGTTGCTGTCGTCATGGTGTCTCTTCACAGCAACAGAAACCCCAAAGACAGGTAACAAGCACCTAGGTGCTAGGGACTCATGGCACAAGGACAAAGCTGACCGAGGATTGTTTGAAGGTGTGTGTATGTGTGTGTGTGTGTGTGTCCATTTTTAGTGGGAGTGAGTAGATCAATAGGAAAAATCTAACAATTAGAGAACAATCATTCCCATGAGGAAAACTGAAAGCGAAAAGGGCAGGGGCATCAGGAATGTGCAAGGCCAGGCAGGCTGCAAGAAAGCACGGCTTGAACCTAACAGCCTCTAGAGACGATTCCAGAGCAGTCAAAGACATGGCAATATGTCTGCTCTATCGGCCCTCACTGGGTACCAGCTAAGGAACTGACTACCTGGGGTGAAAGCAAAGGGTGTGAAAAGGCTGTTGACTCCCGGGCAACTGGGCAGAAGTTGCCGCAGAGGATGACTCCACACGCAAAGACACCTGCAGGGAGGGGCTGACAGCAGGAGCCCCTTATTCCCAGGCCTGTGCCCATCTTGGTTAACCCAGCAGCAGAAAGCACCATGGAGTAGTCTGGGGCAGTTAAATTGCTACTCGGTGACATCCATAGGCGCATTATATTTAATGCAGACCTCTTGGTATCTGCAGATCAGTTCCTTAGTCGCACCAAATGCCTATAACCCACATGCACACACCCTGCCCCTACACTTTAAATCACTTCTAAATTATTTAGTGTAACTAGGCAAGCACTCACCACTGAGCTGAGCCTCATATAAATGCTACAGAACTAGCTGTTATGATGTATTATTTAGAAAATAACGATAAGGGGAAGGCTCTGCTTATTTGGTACAATGGGATGTCGGTCTTGCTTTCACCGTGCAGCTTTAAAACTGGTGCAGGGCTTTGGTGGCATATGCCTTCAATCCCTCACCGCGCTGGGAGACCTCTGTGTTCAAGGTCAGCCTGGTCTATAGAGCAAGTTCTAGGACCGCCAGGACTACAGAGAGAAACCATGTCTCAAAACACAAAAATTAAACAAATGAGTACCTGCGGTTGTTTGAATCTGAGGATGCAGAACTCATTAGATGTGAAGATTATATATATATATATACACATATATATGTATATATATTAATTTAAAAGTTACTTAAAAATAAAATCAGGTGCAGGACCTTGGTGACACACACCTTTAATCCCAGCACTTGGGAGGTAGAGGCAGGTAGCTCTCTGTGAGTTCGAGGCCAGCCTGGTCTACAGAGTGAGTTCCAGGACAGTCAAGGCTGCTACACTGAGAAACCCTATCTTGAAAAACCAAAAATAAATAAAGAATAAATAAATGAAATCTGTTAGTAGAATCCTGAAGTGTACCCACAAACCCTTGGCAATGATTTGGACATCATGAAAACTTGTTTCCCAGCATCAATTCAGGAACCCGGTGGAGGCGGGGGGGTTATTGGTTAGCCTTTGGTATCTACTGCTATTCTGGATGCATGTACTTAAGCAAATTATTCTTGGTTCTAAGTTATTCACATATAAAAATGAGCCTGGGGATGCTGTGTCAGCTGGGTGTTACACAGGTTCACCAAATGCAAAACTGTCAAAGACTGAGCATCCCACCCTCCCTCTAGACATGTTCCTCCCTCGTCTCTCCTACTCAGGCAATTAAGCCATCGCTGATGAAAGCCAGAACATCAGCAGTCCCTCCGTGCTCTTCAGCCCCCACATCCAATTAAGCACACTGGTCCCAGAGTGCACACGGCAGAGCTCTCTGCCTCGGCTCTGTAACCAGCCCCACATCTTTGCCAGATTAATGGCATTCTTTGCAACATGAAGGTGATGAATCCTCAATCTATAGAAAATCCCCAAGTACACAATCTGACACATTTAAGGAACCCACAAAGATACTTTGTGGATAGGAAGTCTTTACCTTAAAAACAAAAACAAACAAACAAACTGCATAGGAGTAGGGTCCTCCTGGAACTGGTGCTAAGCCACTGGATATGGGTGCTTGGAACTCAGCAAGAGCAGTAGAGACTTGTAACCACTGAGCCAGCTCTTGGGATAAATGATCATGTCCTACATGACTTGACTGCCTCCACATTTTAGCCAAATCAATGACAAAGACTTCCTTCAAATACAAGTCAGAGAGCCTGCAGAAAAGCATTCACTGGCTCCCCACATTAACGGACTAAAGAAAGTCAGATCTCTCTGGCAAGACACTCAAGGCTCTCCACCCACAAGCTGCTACACACTCACTTCATCCCTCAGGAACGCGAAGCCACCTTGGTTCTCAGCGGCGCTGCGCTCCCTGTGTGCTCTTAGGCTGTGCTCCAACCTTTCCTCCCACAGAACTTATTTTCTAAGACTCCTGGCAGCTGCTTGCCTCTCACAACTTACTTCAGGCCTCTTCTAAGAAAGTCTTCCTTGGACGTCGAGGCTGGACTAAAGGATCTGATGTGAATGCACATCAGATCACCGCATTAAAAAAATGCCATACTTCTACTGAAAACTCTCGCTCTCAACGAACTAGTCCAAGGCGGGGCTGGAGTTGTTCTCGGTGAATAGATAGGCTAGCGGAGGGTTCTGAGAATTGACTTGGGAGGTGATATCCAAAACACAACCAGTACTAACCATCCAGCATCGCCAAAAGCACGCTCCAGAAACTGCTAGCCCTTCCTCCCGCACAGGAGGAGCAGCCGGGGTCCCCCCGGGGTCATCCGTGCCTCCCGTGTAGTGGGAACGCCCAGCTGCGTACATAGGAGGCAGCCCAGCCAGAGATGCAATAACTCGCCCCACATTACAAAGTTAACTTGGGGTCCCAGGCACGAGCAGGCTTCCAAAGCTCTCTGCACACACGCCTCGCACAAGTGAGGACGGAGACAGCCAACTCCAACCCCAGTGTTGGGGTGCAGCAGCAGTGACGAGGAGGCCTCAGGGCCCTCGCTGAGCCTGGTCCTCGGGGAGGCGGGCGGCGGACCTGTCACGGGAACGCGGGTCCCTCCCTGACCCGGGCACCGAGGCTCCTCTTCCTTCTCCCGCTTGGCACTCAGTCGGTGTCTCTGCTTCGGGAGGTGGGGTGGGGACGGCGGGCTCCGGGGGACCCCACCCACCCGGGGGGACCCCACCCACCCGCACCGCCCGGCCCGGTTCTCACCTCGCTGCCTGGGCTCGTCCCGGGCCTCCCGCGCCTCGCGGGGTGTGGGATGGTTCTGCAGCAGCGGCCAGCCCGGCGGCTCCTCCAGTTCGGAATCCAGCTCCGGCTTTGTCACTTCACCTGCCCCGTCCGCTAGGCCACGCCCCAGTTCTGCGCAGGCGCAATTCTTAGCCACCCCCCCCCCCCCGACTCCAGATCTTAATGGCGCGGAAAGGGAACCTACGGAACCGCGATCTGAGACCGGAAGTTGACGGGACGAGCCCCGCTCTGGGCTCAAGAGCGCGCCGGAAGTTGTGTGTTGGTGGTCGGGGGTTTTTCTTCCCTTGGTTCGCCGTGGCTGTGCTTTCAGTTTAGAGACTGCGGCAACGGGTTCCTGGTCCACGCTGCTCCTGAGACTGCCAGGATGTCCGCGATTCCTGCAGAGGAGAGCGACCAGCTGCTGATCCGACCCCTGTAAGGGATGAGCTAGCGAGGGAGCGAAGCCCCCGAATGTGGGAGAGCCAGGAGGGGTCGCCGCGGAGGCAGCTGCAGGCCCGGCCTCCCAGGCTCACGGGGTTTGGAGAATGTTTATCGAGGGGCTTGCTAGGTTGAATGTCATTTTACTTTTCCTTCAGTCCCAGGGGAGGGTATGTCGGAGTTGAAAAAAAAAAAGAAAAAGAAAAACCAGGTCGTTGGGCGCTTTCATAGAGAAGGGGTTGCCAATTAGCACAAGTCTGGATCTCGCACAGGGAACCGACAGGTAGAGGAGGACAGTGCAAGGAAGACCTGCGTCTGATAATGCCTCCAGACCCCACGTGTGCTCAGATGGCCGGGGTAATTATGTGAGTGTGTGCCTTCAGAGCTCAGACCTGAGCAGAAGGCGGAAGGAAAATGCAGAGGAGAAAGCAGAGTTGTCAAGGAAGGAAAGTGAGCGCTCCATTACCGTAAAAGTCTGGTTTTAGTGGAAACGGCTTTCAGCGTTCTGGAATGCTGGCAGAGAATTGCCCCACGCCTGGAAAGGTCAAGAACGTAGTGGTGCAGAGGAGCGATTTAACTCCACACACGATTATCGTTCAGTTTTAGATACTAGCTAGCGCCACGTGAATGTGTACATTTTTCAAAAGAGAGAAACTAGATCCTTTATCCATTCATTTGGCGAGATTTACTGAAGCTGGGCGGTGGTGGCGCAAGCCTTTAATTCCAGTACTCAGGAGGCCGAGGCAGGCGGATCAATGTGGGTTCGAGGCCAGCTTGGTCTACAGAGCGAGTTCCAGGACAGGCTCCAAAGCTACACAGCTGTACAAAGCTGCCTCAAAAAACAAAGCAAAACAAAACAACAAAAATTTACTTAGCACTTACCAATGATTGCACGTGAATGTCCCTGCCGTCCCCCTATATACACTAATCAAATATCAGATACCTCACCAGGCACGGGGTGAGTTCATTGATGTCACTCCTTTGGTTAAATTGTAGAGCAAAGTGTGTGGGGGGTGCTAGAATGAATTTGTGAAAACAGGAGCCGGCTACCTTGGAGTCAGATCTGAAACCCAGTCATTCTATTTAATAGGGAAGTAGCCTTCATAAAGCCACTTCCTCGTGTGTAAACACCATTCATTGTGAGGGGAAGAGCTCATGGGCTGTGCTCAGTAAATAATGCTTCTTTGACATGTGTTACAAGGGTATGGAGAGGCATTGTGTTGAGGGTCAGAAAGGCTGCAAATGGGACTTCCTGAGATTGAGGCAAGGATATCTCATGCACCTTGGAAATGGAACTGATCTATAACCCAAGTGTTAAAGAATTTGTAGAAATTAAAGGCCATGTAGAAGCCAAAGTGTTCCAGGGGAACTTGAGTGTGGTCCCAACTCATGGCCAAGTTGCTCTGGCTGTGGTTAACAGCAGAAGACTTGGGCCAGACTGTCAGGCCCCACCTTAGGAAGGACGTTGAGGAGATTCTAAGAGTTCTAATATTTATCACACCAGTTATAGTAGCCAAGAGGTTTGTGTACAAGAGATGTAGTATATAAGAGATTTGAAGGAACTATATAATACAGTAGGAATTACATTAAGAATGTGGCTACTCCCCCAGCCCCCTTTAGAAGCACTCTTGGGCCTTTTGCTAGTGACCCACTGAGCCATCAAGAAGGGACAGAGTAAAAACATCACTTTTGGGTGAAGTGGCTACGTGTGTTATTTGCTTCAATCAGCACTGTGACAAGAAAAAAAAAAAGCAACTCCATTGGGACTGAAAAGATGGATTTAGTGAAGAAACTGGTTGGATGTCATTAAACTGGTCCAGTCTGGGTGATAAGTTACTTGTAGTCAGAAAAGGGAGGGTGATGGGGGAGGAAGAATCAGGTTTCCAGAGTTCAGAAGTAAAGTCTTGAGGATTTTATAACTGCTCAGGTGTTGTCTGCAGGGACAGTCATGAAGCACGGAGGGTACATTCCAGACTCCTTGCTGGTGTAGCTAGGACAAGAGGACAGACAGTGCAGCCGGGAAGGAAAGTTTGGTTCTGTTGTTTGCAGAAGCTGTAAAGGTGTAAGTTACCGTTCGGCTTATAAAGCCGAGAGCAGTTCCGTGTGTGTTTGTGTGCTTTGGGGCATGGGTTTTGTTTTGACATGGGGTCTCGCTGTGTAGCCTACACTGGACTGGAATGAACTCACAACTGTCCCCCTGCCTCAGTCACCCAAATGCTGGAATGACAGGATGTGCCATCAGGATCCGCTTCCGTGATATTTAGTGTACCAAAGGAGTTATATAACCTTTATTACAACTGCGGTACCTAATTCCAGACCCTTTTTATCCCCCCCCCCTTTTTTTTAAAGCCCATTAAGATCATGCTCATTTCTCCCCACCCTCCCTAGCCTCAGCACCCATCAATCTATTTTCCTTCTCTGGATTTGCCTTTTTGAAGCATTTCATACAAATACAATCATACAAGATGAGCCCTTTGTGCTTGGCTTCTCTCACTGAGCAGTTCTAAGGCTTCTGATTTGGGAGTTTGGCAAACATTTCAGACCCCATAGCAGTACAGCAGTGGACAAGACAGATGTGAATCTTAATAGTGCTGCCGTTGTAATGTGTGAACTGTGCCATAAATGGATGTATGTGTTGCGCTGCAGTGAGGTGGGATGGCAGATTGAGGCTTGCAGTAAAGGATGCATTAGAGTAGGCGTCAAGAAAGGGTCTGAGAAGGTGAAGCCTGAGCTGAGACCCAGCTGATCTCAAGGGGCCAGTCCAGGAGTGTGTAAAAACGAGCCTGGTGTACTGAACATGCAGTACCTGGCAGAGACCCCAGTAAGAGGCTTAAATGTCAGGAGTATGTGTCAGAGGTCTAGAATTCAAGACAGTCTGGGCTGTAGATAGAACCTCTGAAGTCATCAACATGACAGACATGTAAGGACCATGAAGCTGGGAAGAGGTCCCAGGAGAGACTTCAGAGGCTAGAGAGAGTCAAGGCAGATCAGTGCGGGGGAAATGGGAAAGCCAGCAAGACAGACTAGAGTGTGGAGTCAGAGAAGCTAGGAAGTGCTTGGTGCTTGAAGGAGCCCTTAAACAAGGGAGGTAGTAGCTGCCAAGGGGACCAGTTAAATTAAGTAGAGCTATTTGCTCTTAGCAGCAGGGACAATCTCAGAAAAGCAGCGGGGAGCAGCTGGTGAGTGGAGTGGATGGGAGGGGAGGAAATGCAGAGGGACAGCTCTGTGGGGAAGTTGGCTTAGGAATGAAATGGGAATTCCTCTGGATAAGAACCCAGGAGTTTAAACTGGGAACAAAAAACGAGCCTGGCATTTATTCATTTTTAAATTTGAGATAGAGGCTCCCTATGTATTCCTGGCTGTCCTGGAACTCTGCCTAGATCAGGCTGGCCTCAGCTTTACAGAGCTCTGCCCATCAAACAACTTGATCCTCTGTCTACCTCCTAAGTGCTAGGATTTCAGGAAAGTTCCACCATCGTTTCTTCGTCTTCTAATCCGTGGCTAGCCCGGCATGGATGGGTATGCATGGGTCCATCTCATGCCTGTTTGCTGCCAGACCACAAAGTCTTTGAGGTCTGATTATTTCATGGTATCAGGTGCACACCTGTTCTGGGCAGATAGTACCTTGCCTTGCATGAGAGCACTGAGTAAATTGTGAGAGAGATTTTTGGGAAAAGATAACCAAGAAGCAGTTATGTTTAGCTTAAGATGTGCTAGAAAGGGGAGGTCTGAAACCATGAGTGACTCACTGGGATGCTTGGTACAGTGATCTCAAGATGAGAGGCAGTGACTCGGTGACTTTATCTGAAATGGTTGTTCTAGAAGTGTCGTGTGACTGCTCGTTTACATCTTAAACATCCCTCAGCTCCCCAAGACCACTTTTCACCCCTTCGTATCCCAGCACTCATCCTCTGTTTGAACTGTGCAGCTGTCATCTGTCTCAAAAATTTAAATGACCACTGCCATCACTCGAGGGCTGTTTAAGTCATGAAAGAGTTTTAACTTATGATGTTGAATGTTGCTGGGGTGGAGTGAGACGAGCTTACTGAGCACTGATTTACTTGCTGTAACTTCTTACTGCTGGTTTTGTCGTTATGTAAGCATGTGTCCAAATGCAGCTTTGGACTGCTTTAATTGCTATTTAATCATTTTATTTTTCCCTTTTGAATGTTTGCAGTGGCGCTGGGCAAGAAGTGGGAAGATCATGCATTATTTTGGAGTTCAAAGGGAGAAAAATCATGGTAAGTATTATTGGTGGTATCATTGCTGTTTGGTACTGGAAATTGAACTTGGGACCTTGTGAATGCCAAGGACATGATCTACCACTGAATCAT